GTTCTGTTCCCCACTCTGGCTCTGGTGAATTCTCTCACCCTCCCGCGCCTCTGACTATACCCAGTGCTTGTATAAATAAATAAATAAATCTTAAAAAAAAAAAGGAGAGAGAAAGTTAATACAAATGTTATTATGAAGAAGAGGTTAATGGAAGAGGGTCAGAAAAGTTTTTGTTTGAGAGAAATTTAAACAAGAGAAGATTGGGGCCTCTCGGATGGCATAAAGGGTTAAGCATCAGCACCTTATCCAATTGGCCAAAACTGAGTCACATGACACCTCTGCAATCAAGAGATTCCTGCCTTGATTTTTTGACAGGGAAAAAGGAAAATATCTGTTGAGTATACAACTATGGGTCCTCAGTTAATCGTTCCCCTGTTTCACCAACTGCTTTGGTTCCTGCTTCAGTCGTGGAAAGGACAATGTGTCTCTTAGCAGATTCAAGTGCCTTAATCAGTAAAGAGCATTGATACCATGTGAAGTCACTGATCACACCTCTAAGGGCTTCCCATAAGCCTTCACGTGTGATCCCTACGAGCAAGTTCCACTTCTTCGTGGGGCTGATTTCAAAAGCCCAGTATCTTCTTCTTAAAGGCTGTACAAACTCTAACTATGCACAAGGATGGGCATCCTTGGGATCAGTATTGTTTGAATCCTTGCTCTCTACCAGGCTCTTAAAAAAAAAAAAAAAGATGACTTGCCTTCCAGTTATACACAACTGGATGAGAAAATGAGAGCAACAGACATCAAATGTGTCAATTATGTGCTTGAATTTTCTGGAGTCCAGAAAAGGGAGTGATCAAGCAAATGACCTCAGAGAATGGAAAGAATTTATAGGAGCTAGTAAAGGAGGGAGGAAATTCATGACCAGAAGAGAAAAACTCCTGGTTGTAATGGGAGGGACACTCATTCTGATCCTTTTGAGAATTTAACGTTTTTCTCCTTAGAACTTGGAAGAAGCTGCCCAAAGTGGAGAACATGCCAAACATTAGCATTAACAATGCCACAAACTCTCCAAATGTAAATTATATCTGCTGGAAGGTACATGGAGACTGGGTTACTCAGGTAAAAAAAAAAAAAAAAAAGAAGAAGAAGAATATTTAAGTAAATGTAAATTGAAATTTAGCAGTCTGCCCTCTCTCTCTAGGTACATCAAAATAAATGACCATATATATTCTTTAATGACCCTGAGAAAGCTTTATTAACCTAAATACAAGCAAAAAAATGAATGTCACTTGAAATAGCAGAATGTTACAAAAAAAAAAAAAACAATAAATGGCTGGTTTCTAGGAGCTAGTGAAATTCATCATATAGAAATTCCCAAGGTGCGTGATTTGGGGGCTCCCACCCCATGTCCGCTTTGGGTCTGGAGAGCAGGCAATCTTTGGTAGGAGAGATGCCCCACTCAGTGACTCAAGTGTCTTAGGACCAAGGATTTGGTTATAGACAGGAGAGTTATTTCCCTGAGCTTTCTACCAGCTCTGAGAACCAAGTATTTCTCCAGTGCATTAAAAAGAAAAACATTGTCCTTTATTTTTTTTTAAGACAACTTTTTTTTTTATTTAATTTATTTATTCAAGCACTGGGTATAGTCAGAAGCGCAGGAGGGTGAGAGGATTCACCACAGCCAGAGCGGGAAATAGAACAGGCAGACCGACTGAAATACACTGCTGAGGGGAGCACGGGCGCGGCAGGAGAGATCTGCGCGCCATGTGGGCCCCTCGCCAGTGGCCAGGAATCGAACCAGCGCTGCAGAGGCCTCGCAGCCCAGCGCTCAACCGCTGCACCACCAGGGGAGGCCCCATTGTCCTTTATTTTAAGGCAGAAAGCAAATGCAGCATAGACGTGCGGGTGCGAGGAGCAGGAGGGAGAGGAAGAGCCCTTCAGGGCTGACGAGAGCATTTGTTAGGGAGTATCTCTTTCTAAGCATCTTTGGCCTAAACTAAGTAGAGAAGATGTTTAATAAAGAAGACATATGTGCAAGATGGGCTCCCTGGTGGCGCAGGGGTTGGGGTCTCAGCGCTATCAAGTTATCGCCAGCCACTGCTGCATGAGTTGGATCCTGAGCCAGGGAACTGACTCACATGGCGCAGCAGACCTCTCCTGTCTCACCCCCTGGTCCCCTCAGCAGTGTATTTCAGTCAGTCTGCCTGTTCAGCTCCCCACTCTGCCTCTGGTGAATCCTCTCACTCCCCCCCATACCTCTAACCTACACCCCAGGTCTTGTATGCGTAAATAAATTTTAAAATCTGTAAAAAAAAAAAAGACATGCAAGCACAGAAAGCTAAGAAATGTTATTGTGTGAAAGGAAAAGATAGAAAAACAACCAAACTTATTTTGCAAAGTAAAATGGAAAATGAGGGGAGAAGAAAGATTGACCCCCCCACAAAAAAAATAGCATTTACCTAAAAGACTTAGACTAGCAAACTTTTCAACACAAAGGAGAAAATAAACTATAAACCCTGCAGAAGAAATAAAATATGAACTAAGAGAACTAGATATAAAAAGAAAATAATAATCTGACTTAAAGACTTAAAAAGCACATTTACAAATCACCGTGTGTAATCTATGCTTTTCTTGAGAGATTGGAAGGGGTTCTGTTTTTCTTCAGTATTTTTTGAGTTACAATTCACATATCATAAAACTCACCCATTTAACATGCATAATTAGTGTTGATAAAATTTTGCTGTTGTGCGACTATCTCCATAAACCAGCTTAGGGTCATTTCCATCATCCCATAAAATCCCTCTTAATAGCATACAGTTAAGCCCCATTCTTACCTCTAACCCCAGACAATTACTAATCTCCTTTCTTTCATAAGATTTGCCTTTTCTAGTCATTTCATGTTAATGGACCTGTAGGCTATGTGTCCCTTTGTGCCTGACTTCTCAGGGAAGCGGAGCCAGGCTATTTGGAGAAGTATGGACATTGCGTCCCCCTGAACTGCCAGCCCCCAGACACTCTCTGACAGCCCAGCTGGTCAGACTCCCTCTTGGGTCCTCTGTGCCTCAGAAAGTAGAAGGACCAAAACAACGACCCAGAGCTAGCGTAACCCAGGGAGGACCCCCATGCGTGGAGGGGTAGAACGGGCAGAAAACAAAGCCAGGCATTAGCTCTACTAGAGCAAAAATGGAGCCAAAGGGGAGACTGGCCACAGGAGCCAACTCCGGCAGCCAGTTCAGCAGAGGGCAGCTGAGTTCTGCGGTGGCTTGGCCACTGGGTCCCATAGTCCTGGGCCCCCGCCTCACACTCCAAAAGCCTCTCTTCCCTTCAGACTCACCTTTCCTCTTCCTGTGCCTTTGGGTCTCTGTTTTTGGCACTCCATGAGATTAGCACGAAGGGTTACCTTCTGTGCAGCCTCTTTGAGCCGGCATAGTGCCTGGCCTCTAAATGACAAGTGTGTCATCCCTGTAGCGAACCTGCTGCGCTTTCAACATGCCTAAGGGTTTATTCAATTTATATGCACATGCACTTCCTCAGGACTTCCTCCGGGGAAGAGGGCGGCCTGAGAGGAGAGGAACGCCTCCTTCTCACCTAGTCCTGTTCCTAGTGCCCAAGATGGCCCTGGCCCACCATCAGGGCCCTGCCTGGGAGCTTTGGTTCCCCAGACCAGGCACATCTGTTCCAGAGGCTGGCTCTACATGTTTCAGGACAGTCTTTTACCCCTCCCAGTGTGGTACTCAGTGTAGCATCCTGCTGACACCTGACTTACAATGAAGGATAACCTGTTTTCTCTGAAAAGCCTCACAGCCCTGCAGGCAGCATTTTTATTTTCTCAGCGATATTTAAAATAGGTAGCGGAAACTTCAACACAATCTACAAGACAGGACACCCAGGAATTGCGTGTTCTGGTGCTAGCCTGGAGCACATATCAACGACAGACAGCCCACACGCTCCACAAGGCTGCCCACGGGTCTGCCCACACACAAATGCGGTTTTATAAAAATGTGCTTTCCTCTGAACAAGTGGTTCCTTTCTCCCTCTTGAAATATGTGTTAACAGAATCTGTAGACATTGTTAGAAACTCTTACTTGCCCCAGTGTGTGACCTTCATATTAATGAGGATTTTCTCCTTTTTTCATTTCTAGTTGAACTACTACGATGCTATCAAAGCCGTCATTTCCAGCTCCAACCACGAGCCCACGGCTCTAGTAATAGGTACTGATCACGCTCCTCTCACATTTGCCATCTTTGTGTGTGTGTGTGTGTGTGTGTGTGTTACAACTCCCTTGCTCGGCTCCCACCTTGATCATTTCTGCATTGCAGTAGCATCCCACGCTCTGCTAATAACTCCTGGTGCCCTTCACTCTTTAGTTTGCCTTTAGTTTTAGAAGCTTCACACTTGGCTGCTGGAAAGGAAGAGAGAGAGAAGGGATGGCTACGCCAGGCCTTCCCACACTCCAAGAGCACCATCCATATTTGTTGAGTTGAAATAAGAGCAAAGTCCACCTGGAAGATGTCAGTTTACAGGGTTTGAGCGCCCCTAATGTGTGACGTGATATTAAATAGGCAGTAATGTGCACATAAGAAAGGGTCTTGGGCATTTTTATAAAGTTGGATTTGGGAATTTTTAGGAATTCAGAAATCATGCCGGGTGTAAGAGCTTTCAGTGATGATGGCAGGAAGACCCAGGGCCTGGAGACAGCTTTCTGGAAGCTGGACTTTGACCAAGTAAATTCAGAGACAAATCACTCCAGCTTCCTCCTTCCCTTCCTTCCTCCTTCCTTTCCCCCCTGCACTTTGTCCCGCCTTCCTTCCCTCCTTCCTTGAATATATTTAAGACTTTTCATTGGTTATTTCCTCTGCCTGGAAGGTTCTCCATGCAAATATCTATTTGATTCATTCTCCCACCTCCCTAAAGTCTGTGCTCCAATGTCACTTCTCCATGAGGCCTTCCTTGCCTACTTTATTACATATTGAAACAGCCCAGCTCCTGATCCTGGTAATCGCAATCCTTCTTGTTCTACCCTTATGTAAATCCACACATCCAATCATCTTCTAATATGCTGTATAATTTATCTACTATGTTGATGGTTTATGATCTGTCTTCCTTCATCAGAGGCAAGCTCCAGAAAGTAGGGATTTGTGTCCATTTTGTTCACTGTTTTGTCCCAAGTGCTTAGACTAGCACATGGCACATCATAGGTGCTCAATAAATATTTATTCAATCTGTTTCCAAACAGATTGACCTCAAGCAAGAAGAAGCACCCTAACAGGAGGACCCAACAATCGCAGAGAGTGCTTCACAGCAGAGCAGGTTCTCCTTGGTGCATTTATTTATTGAAAGGTGATAGAGGCAGGGATCTCTGGCCTTATTTTGGTTATTAATGAACATGAAAGGGGAACACATCTTGGTGAAGGCCCTACAGAAACCAAGACTGGGCCTGAGTATCTTCCCTCTGCAAACCTAAATAGGGCTCCATTTTGTGACGGCAGTTCTGTGGGTTCTCATCCTACTGAGGAAATTGATGGAAGATACAGGATAGGTTGGGCGGGAAAACGCCAAGATCTGCCTTGAAACAGGAGGAGTGAAAGTGTAAGCTTTGAAGGAACACACCTACCTGGCTGTTGACAGGATGCGCTGAGCCCATGACTATATGCTTGGCCTCCGAGTCAGTCCTGGTGCTAGGATCCACAATGGACACTCGGAATTCACCCTCCTCCAGAACCCCAGCACCTGATAACTTACCTCTTAGTTAGTGTGCTGGGAATCTGAACTCACCTTGAATCTATTTTAGGTTTCCATGGTGATTGCTTAAACTTTTCATCATCCTGCCTTCAGACCTTGGGAAAGAGCTAGGCTCTCTGGTTTCCATGACAACCATTTAAACATGTATCTCTGTCTGGCTCTGTTGAAAAAGAACTGCGAGAGATCATGCAAATCAACTGGCTGCTCTCCTTTATTTCAAAAATAAAAATAAAGTGACACACCTGCTTAGAAGTTTCAGATCTCTGTTCATAACAAGAAGGGTGAAAATGTCAAACTGGTGTTTCAGGGGGGTTTGCTGCATTGCTTTGACACTTCAAATGTTCACCCAGATACACAGGCTCACTCTGCCTGCTTGAGTAATTATCTACACTCAGCACTTATCCTCCCTCCTCTCTGCCTGGAGATGAAAGACCCACAAGTTCAAGGCTGTTTACCTTCCTGCCGCATATTAAAGGAAAAAGGGAAGCTATATATATAATGAGAAGCTAGCCACCCACCCAGCCAAGCCCTCATGATTGTGGACAGAGACCATGGAGGGTGGGGTTGTCATTTTAACTCACTTGCCAATAAACTGGTCAGAGGTGACGTGAGACTCAGACTATGGTACAAATAATATGGAAATCACATAGCCCACTCATTCACAAATGACTTTACATGCTCTACAAGACTTCACAGGATGGAGAGCAGCCACCTAACTCAGAAGCAGAGCTCAGGAGAAGCAGAAAAATATCAGTGTTCCTGATCCCCCCCAGACACTACCCTGTCCTTCACCACAGTGACATGCCCTGAAGCAGAAGTCTAAAGAGTCAGCAGTGGCTGAAGTAGCCATCGACGGGTTTAAAATATGTTTTGAATCAGACTACCAACATTTCAAATTCTAGAAGTTTCCAATGAAAATAGAGATTTTCCATTTCTCTCGAAAAATCAACAGAGTTCTACTTCAAGAGGGTCTACTTTGTCATAGTAGTATCACTCTCCAAGAGACAAAACACATATTCACTTTGGATAAACTTTTCTGAATAACAGATTCTGGGAAAGTAGTTGAATTTGTAACTTGTCAAAGCAGGCACAGTCCCCAAACAAAAACAATTACCCTTCAACCAACTGCTGAAGTCAGAAACGCTGAAAGAGAATTCTTATTTGGAGAGAGAGGGGAGTAGGCTGAAGATTAAATGTTCTACCTTCTTCCTCCAAGGCCCATCAGCCACCTTGGACAAGGCTGGGGTTGGAGGCCAACATAAGCCAGATAAGGTGGCTGGGGGATGCACAGGTGAATATACTGGGGATTTCCTTCATGATCCTCCAGTGAGACCAATGTCTCATACCTATAGAAAAGGCCCTGCATGGCTTCTGTGTGATGCTTCTGTGTGATGTTGCTACTTTGATGCCTTTATTTAGTAGATTCATAAGCTCTTCTGTCACCTGTCAACATAATTGTAGGACAAAATTGGCTGGTTGGTTGATGAAACTTGACAGGTCAACTCAATAAATCCCAGCTTAGGCATCAGACATTTGTTGTGGGTTTAAGTCCCATGATTTTTGTGATGACAAGTTTCAGAACCTCTCCAAGTATAAGTTTTCTTACACGGGAAATGGAAGCATGCCCCCCTCATGAGTTTCTGTGAGACTCCAACATGATTGTGGATGGAGAGGCCCTATACAGCAATCCCTGGCATTTGGTAGAGATTTAATAAAAATGCCCTCAAAAGGAGATGGCCCTCTTCGTGTTTCTTCTCCTCCCCACTCCAGGTGACCCTTCCTGCCTGTATGTAGGCAAGGAGGGGGGGAAGTCTTGCTTTTCTTAGCGATACACATCACTTTCATTCTTTGGACTGTCTACAGTTTAACCCCTGGGAGTGAAAGAAGAAAACCCATGTCATCACTGAGAGCAAACCTAGGACCTTTAAAAATCAACATTCTTGTCAGAAAACTGAATGATCATAGTAGAAACCTGTGTTTTATTTTTCTGTGAATATTTTAGGGTGCACTATGGGAACAACAAATGTCAAGCAAAAGATGAAAGAGATCAGGGATGTTAAAAAAGATGTCAAAGCAAGAAAAGGCCAAACATCTCTTGGTTTACCCCAAAGGCGAGCAGAATGTGATCACACCGTGTTTCGTATCTGCAAAGGAGTCAAGGCATTTTCATTCTGCAAGAGAAAGAACTTGCTGCTGACAGGTGGCATGGATCGCATAATTAGAGTCTGGAATCCTTATCTACCTGGGTAAGTTTTTTCCCTCCAACCACCAGTGCCATTGATGCAGGTCTAGGGTGAAATGTACACAGAAGTGGATATGGGATCACTAATTCCTTTGCAGAATAATTTTAAGTACCATTGTCTGAAACTGATCTGTCACTACAACCTGGAAAACTTCTGTTGGTGGCCATTCAGGATTCACTGGGCAGGGAGAGTTAGTAAGCAACTTGTTTATAGTATAATACTCGCAAGGACAAAGAGACTGTGTGGAGTCATCATTCACTAGCATCTTGGAAGATTTTCTTTAATCAGATTGCTATCTCCTCCACAATGAACTGAGATCAGAAGCAGAGAGCAATTAAAGGCTTTGATGGGGTAATCGAAATGCTGTCCATTCACCTCCCACAGCTGCCCTAAGTTTACCTTCACTCTCCATAGGATTTGTTCAGCCCCAACTGAATCCATGACTCTACCACCCCTAAGATATAGCAGAATTGGCACAAGAAAGCAGGGATTGTTCTGGATAGCCTGGAACTAGGGCAGCAGGGCAGAAAACAGTTCACTGTGTAATACAGTTCATGCCTTAGAAAAAGAATTCTTATTTGGAGAGAGAGGGGAGTAGGCCGAAACCTTTCGCTCTGGTGCCCAAGAACAGGGGCTCAGCGATGCTTTCTTGACACTAACACAGCTGATATTTTACTGAGCGCCTGCCTTGTGCTGTGCCACACATGCCTCATCTAGAGTCCTCGCATCAGCTTCATCTACAACTGAAGAAACTGAAGCTCAGAAGAGTCGATTAACATTCTGGGAGTAGTGGCAAAATTAAGGTTCAAATACAGGCGTGGCTTGTTTTGAGTACCTGAATCATTTCCATGTTGAAAGTGAAGGAGAGTGGGAATGCAAGTTGTCTTCTCATTCATTGATAGTGGGGATTTGGGGATGAGAATGTAGGATTGAGGGGCCCCCTAGGTGGCCCCCACTGCTCATAGCAGCAGCAGGTTGCTACGAGGCACTGTGTTGCAGGAAAGCACAGGGATCTGACTCCAACTCTGTCACCTTCTAGTTGGCCAATCCTGAGCAGGCGCTGCAGCCTCAGCTTCCTCATCTATAATGGTGATAATGAGAGTACCCACTCCAGAGCAGGAATAAAGATTGCAAATGAGATAATCTATACAGGGCGCTCAGCATAATGTCTGATGCCTAACAAGCAAGCAAGAAAAATGATTTCCTACCCACTTCCGCTACCTTAGACTCCTATTTGTGTGATGATTAAGAACAGTTTACTTTCTTTCCAGTGAGTGGGTTATAAAAGACACTATGTTCTGTCCTTCAGCCTCAGCCCTGTGTCTCTTCCCACCACGCACCAAGCCCTGAGACCCTCAGGGCTCTACGAGCTCTCAAAGCTCCTTAATATAAACTCATGTTTCAAGATATTCTCTCACCCAGATCTGAATACTGTAAACCTGCATAAAGTAACACCCTGCCATGGAATCTATCCCAGCTCCACTCTTTACTATTCCTCATTCATGCCTTTTAGAGAATATTGTCAGCAGGGCAGAAACAAAGCCCAGGGCCTCATCTCACAAATAATATTCAGTTGTGTTGCTACAACTGGGTATTATGTGCTTCCTTCCTTTTATTACACAAGATAGATAATTGTGTCATTTCAGAGGGAGACATAGCCCTCCTCCAGGCTGAAAAGAACTGCCAGATCCAGGCCAAGTTTAGTCTTGCATTTTTATTTAGAAATAGCAGATAGAACTGATTGGTGTTCATCTGGTCTTTTTCCATTCTAGAAAACCAACAGGTATGCTGAAAAGCCACACAGCTCCTGTGATCTACATCCATGTATCTGCTGAGGAAAACAAAATATTTTCCATGTCCATGGACAACGCTGTTAAGGTCTCGGCCCTTTTACAATTCGCTGCATTATCCAGGATGGTTTAGGATAGAAAATGTGCTCCTTTCATATTTTCTTTTTCCTTCTCTGAAGCTTGGGGGCCTCTGCAATAACAGATGCTTAAATGGTATTCACATTTGTGAGTTTGCCTTGGAAACGGAGGGTATGTAGGCAACTGAAGGGTGGCCCTTTTTTTTTTTTTTTTTTTTTTTTTGTGGGACCCTCGCTGGCGGCCTGGGAATGAACCACGAACCGGTGCTGCAGAGGCTGCAGGCAGCCTCGCAGCCCAGCGCTCAACCACTGCGCCACCAGGGGAGGCCTGAAGGGTGGCCTTTTAGAGAACTTTCGATACCTGGTGTTTGTGTAGTAATGAAAAAGCCTTACAGCACGTAAGCCCCTCCCTGCATGCTGTCCAGATTCCCTGTGAGAGTGTGTGTTGAGGATGGAGATGAGGAGCAGGAGGTGGAATAGGGACACGTGGGAGGCAGCAGCCCCTTCCACTAGAAGGTCTCACCTTATTTTGCCACATGTATAGGGCAGGTGGGCCCTTTTCAAAATGTTCTCCGTAAGGCTTGGCTTTTAAATATTTCTGGCTTTGATGGAAGAAGTAATATCATCATTTTATTTGGTTTATCTGACACTACTTTTTATACTTAAAGTTCTGCTCAGCTCTAAAATTCCATTACTCTGTAATCTTCATCATACAGTAATTTATATACAAAAAAGGGAAGATTCTCACTCGTTTACTTCCTCCATCATTTCATATGCTTTTCATCCACTTTCTTTCTGCAACTGACATGGGGCCCATGGTGGGATTCAGAGCCATTGATCAAGGGAGTAAAGGAGCCTCAGGAGAAAGATCACTGCCACTGCTTTGTGCAGTTAGTTACATAAACCAGGTCACTGACCACCCAGTAATAAATTACTGATAGATGTTATGGGCTGAATTTGTGTCACCTTAAAATTCATATATTGGTATCTGACCCCCAGTATCTTAAAATGTGACTCTCTTTGGAGATAGGGACTTTAAAGAAATTATGGTTAAATGAGGTCATTTGGGTGGGCACTAATCCAATATGACTGGTGTCATTATAAGAAGAGAAGATCAGGACACAGGACTAAGCGGGAGACCTTGCAGGACCACAGCAAGAAGGTGGTCACCTCCAAACAAGATAGAGAGGCCTCTGAATTTAAATAAAATGTCCAGAAAAGGCAGAATAGTAGTTGCTACTGGGTGGAGTGAGGTGGGACTAGGGAGTGATTGCTAATGGGTATAGGATTTCTTTTTGAAATAATGAAAATGTATTGAAATTAGCTAGTGGTGATGGTTGAACAACTCTCAATACATTAAAAAGTACTGACATGTACACCTTAAAATGTGAATCTTGTGATATGTGAATTACATCTCAATAAAATTGCTTTTAGGAGGGGAAGGGGGGAAGAGTCAGGATGATACCAGGGTTTGGGGTGAGAGCAGCATAGCCCGGGAGCCCAACAGTTATGTTTCTGGTAGAGTCATCCCAAGTTGAGGGGAGATGTCAGGCTGGAGATGTAAATTTGGGCGGCATTAGCATTTAGATGGAATTTTAATCCAGGCAGTGGATGAGATCTCAAAGGAGTGAGAGTGGGCAAAGGAAAGCAAAACCTCCAAGTCTGTGCACCTGGGCATGGTGGTGTAGGGGGTTTCTCTGTTTGTGGGGGTCTAATGTGGCACCTGTAGCATGAGCTAAGAGTCCTCCGTGGCAATGAGGAAGATAGTTAAGGTGGTGAGTTCAAGTCAGTGATACAACAAGGATCCAAACTCAGTTTGGTCCTCTGAGCAAATTTGATTAAAATGATAGGCTTTCTGAACTTATTTTTTGGTTTATTGAGGATAAAATTCATCCAAAGGCAGCATTCAAAAACACAAAGTTGGAGACTTCATATTTTTATTGAGTTTTTTTCCCCCAAAACTTGCTGCCATCAGATAATCATAATTCTGTATGTGTGGACATGTCTTCCATCCTATTTTATTTTCCTAGTGCCTCTCCATTTTCTTCCAATCTAAACTCATGATTACAAGATTAGCATCTTGCCTGTGATGATTCAGGCATATTGAATCACTTCCCAACGTGTGTTTAAAATATATTGAAATCCTATCTTGGAAATATGGTGTGTAATTTATTTCAGAATACATTATTCCTATCAAATAAAAACTAATCAACTAGGAACCAAACAGCTAAATTTCTAGCATGCCTGATCAGATAGTCTTCATTCTTTGAATTGATTTTTCAGCCCAAATATTTCACTTCTCTAAATCATGAGGACACACAAATGTTTTAGGAGTCTGCAGGTTTCTGGCATTCTCTGAAGGAGAGTAAAGTGACAGATGTGGATTTCTGTTTTTACTGGTTATTTTCTATAAATTTAATATTGCACACCACCAAGAGGGCTGCTTTGTGTCAACAGGAATCAGGATGCAAAGAAAGTTATTTCTTGGAAGTGAGACAGCATGGTGTATAAGGTTAAGGCAAGGCTTGCTACTATAACAAATAAACCCGTGTTTTCCATAAGTTGAAACAAGCAGTGTTTATTTCTGTCTACTGTCACAAGCCAGGCCACTGCTCCTGGTGAGGGACACATTTTCTCCCATCCCAGAACCAGGCTGTCTCCATGGGGGATGGAAGGTGGGGGGCTGCCTAGGGTCTCAGAATCCTCCTCATCCAGGTGCAATAAGCATGGAAATAGAGAAGGATTATTTGCTCTTAAAAATCCCAGGCAGAAACGTCACTTTTTCTCACGTTCTACTGCTGGACTCATAATTCTGGGTGGAAGGGAAACTAGGAAATGCCTTCCTGTGGTAGCCACTTTCCACTTTCCACTGTGGGCAAGGAAGTGTGACCTTGGGGCAACCAAAGATTTTTGGAGAAAAACAAACTTGAGTTTAAACTCTGAAACTATCACAGACAGGCCACTTCAAGTGAAATACTCAAACCTGACCTAAGCCGCTTAATCATTTTGGACATTGGTTTACTCTTCTAAAACTGGGGAGAAACTCACTTGTAGTTTAGTGGTATTCATTATAGAAAATGTATGAACTGTGCTTACCTCTGAGCAGTTTTGTCTTTTTCAAAAGACAAAAATCTAACTGAAATAGCTTAAACCAAAAAGGAAGGATTTAGTGGTTACTGAAAGCAGATGCTGGGACACTAGGCCTCATAGCACCTGGACTCAGAGATGGCACCTTCTTCCCGTGCCCTCCGTGTCTCTCTTTTCTCTTCCTTGGTGCCCGTTGATCTCATTGAATCCTACTGCAGAATGATTTTCTCCTTCCAAATGACCAGGATCATAGATGCCCAGAGCCTGAACCACATCCCAACTGCAGTTTTACTACCAACTCTAGCCAGAATAATCAGAGGGAAGTACAAAGATCGCCCAAATTCAAATCCCACACCTACCACCCTCAGTCAGCCGGCATATCTCTTACAAGAGCCAGGAGAGTGCTGCATAGACACGTCAGCGGTGCTGAGTCTCTTGTAGCTATTTTTATTTGGGCATTTAATGCCAACTTGCCAAGTCAATGCCAGCATCAGAATGAAGAGCTTCTCCCCACTTTTCCCTTTCATGGACCTTGCAGGGGTCCCTCTATAACATCACACCAGCTGGCTCCAGGGTCATCTCTGTGCACCCCCTCATCAAAACCCTCTTTCAGTTAATTTATCTCATGTGTGAGAAGAAATAAACAACTCAGTGGATACCCTTTGTGGTATAAGTGAGTGATGATAACTGTGTGTTACCTTTCTGTCCAGGAAAACGAGCATCTTCAAACAAATTAGAAAGGGAGGGGTGATGTCACTTGAGGCAAGCAGCCCTCAGGATGACATTTTCCACAATATTATTTTACTTTGATCACTGCTGCCATCCCAAAGCCAATGTCCCAGTATGCATTGCTTCCCCTCTATGCCATGACCTAGAAGTACAGATACAAAGCAGGCTGGAACTTTCAAAATGAGTTTGCTCACTGGTTGGGAGAACTAGAGGAAAACAGGATAAATACAACAAATGAGAGTCTGACTTAAGACATAGGTCTTCAAATCTCATGGTTTGATTTGCTACCTAAGTCTCAAAGGAGGGGAAAGAAGCCTTTTCTAGAACATCCTGAAAAAGTTCTAGAACATCCTGATCACTTTAATCCTTAAATTATCCTCGGCAACTTTGGAGAGAGCAAGACCTGACATTGATTAATCTCAGCTAGTTTAGTGACTCACTAAACATGAGTGAGTCACTAAACATGAGTGAGTCACTTAACCTGGCTGAAATTCACTAGTTAGTGTCTACCCCCCAAAGCTGGTTTAAAAAAAAGTTGTTAAGAAAAAGTTGTTAAGAAAAAGAATTAGCATGCCAGGACTATTATAACAAAGTATAGCGTTGTGCCCTAAACAATAGAAATTCCTTATCTCACAGTTCTGGAGGCTGAAAGTGAGAAATCAAGTATCAGCACTACTAGTTCTTTCTGAAAGCTATGAAGGAGAATTTGTCCCAATGCTTCTCTCCCAGTTTTTAGCAGTTGGCTGGCATTCTTTGGTCTTACTTGTCTTATAGCAGCACCCTTATATCTGTGTCATATTCATGTGACGTTCTTCCTGTGTGATGTCTATCTCTAAAATCCCCTTCTTATTTCTTTTCTTATTATAAATGTTTGTTGGGTATTTATTATTTTTATTTCATTTTAATTGTATTATTTTTTATTAAGATAACATTGTTGGTTCACAACATTGTGTGATTTAGGGGTTCACACTTCTTTTGCATTTTAAAGTTCATCGTGTAACATCTTTTCTTTGTTTTTGAGATAACAACACTATATAAGATTCAGAGGTAGAGGATCCCACCTGTTTAGATGTATGTTTCACACCACACCTACCACCAAGACAATGCAGGGTCCTCTACCATAGTCCATTAGGCCCCCTCCCTCCTTTGCTCTCCATCCTCTCCCTTCCCCTCTGGTATCCTCAATTTTACAGCCAGGCTTCTGAGATTTATTTTTTGTTTAGTTTTGTCTCATTCTTTGTTCTGCTTCTCTATGTTACATATATAAGTGGAATATAAATCTTCTGACTTATTTCACTTAGCACAATCACCTTCAGTTCCATCCATGTTATCAGAAATAGCAAGACTTCCTTTATTTTTTATAGCTGAGTAGTATTCCATTGTGTATCTATACATATTCTTAGTCCATTGATCTATCATTGGGCACTGAGGTTTCTATAATTTGACTATTGTTTCTACTGCTGCAATAACATAGAAGTACATATACATATCTCTTCAAATTAGTGTTTTTGCATTCTTCGGGGAAATTACTAGGCATAGAATTACCGGATCATATGGTAGATCTATTTTTAATATTTTGAGAAAATTCCCCACTCTTTTGGGGGGTTGGACCAGTCTACATTCCCACCAACAGTGTACAGGGTTCTTTTATCTTCACCAACTCGTGCTATTTCTGGTCTTTGGCTATGGACCACTTTCACAGGTGTGTATGAGGTGGTATTTCATTGTGGTTTTGCTTTGCATTTCCCTATAACAAGAGACAAGGAACATGTTTTCATGTACCTGTTGGCCGTTTCTCTGTCTTTTTTGGAGAAGGTTCTATTTAGTTCTGGAGAAGTTTGAAGAATCAGTGTCAGGTCTTGCTCTCTCCAAAGTTGCCGAGGAAAATTTTAGGATTAAAGTGATGAGGATGTTCTAGAACTTTTTCAGGATGTTCTAGAAAAGGCTTCTTTCCCCTCCTTTGAGACTTAGGCAGCAAATCAATCCATGAGATTTGAAGACCTATTAGTTGAAGACCTATTTAGTTTGGAGAAGATTCTATTTAGTTCTGCCCATTTTTTTATTTTGTTTTTAATTTTGTTGTTGAATTATACAAGTTCTTTGTAGATCTTGGATATCAGCACCTTGTCAGAAGTATGATGTGTGAATGTTTTCTTCTTTTCAGTAGGGTTTCTTTTCATTTTAATGGTATTTTCTTTCACTGTGCAGAAGCCTTTTAATTTGATGTTGTTCTAGTCATTTATTTGGAGTCCAGTACCCACCATCCCTGAAAGCCAGTGTCATCACTGCTTTGCCTATTTTCTTTTATATATTTTATGGTCCCAGGTCTTACAATGTCAGCATAGCAGAAGGACTTAAGAACATGAGCCCTGGGGCTCCCTGGTGGCGCAGCGGTTGAGCGCTGGGCTGCGGAGCTGCCCAGCTGCCTGCAACCTCTGCAGCACCGGTTTGATCCCCGGCCACCGGCGAGGGTCCCACATGGTGCGCAGACCTCTCCTGCTGCGCCCGCTGCTCCCCTCAGCAGTGTATTTCATCAGTCTGCCTGTTCTGTTCCCTGCTCTGGCTCTGGTGGTTTCTCTCACCCTCCCGTGCTTCTGACTGTACCCAGTGCTTGTATAAATAAAAAAATAAATCTTTAAAAAAAAAAGAACATAACCCCCACTCTCTACTTCCTTACAAACAACGAAGGAGAAGGATCCTCTTTTACTAGTAGAACCCTTTTCAGTGGGGGTGGGAGTGAGCTGGTGATTCAAACTTGGGTCAAATCTAACCAGACCCCCATAACAGTTGACAGCCTGGAAAACACAGAAAAGTAAGCTGTTCAAAACCTCTGGTTGATTTTTACCCCCGTTTCCTGCTCAGATCTGGGATCTGGAGACCTACAGCTGTGTGTTTACTGCGTCTTCCAAAGCCAGCGGTATTAAGGGAGAGTTCGCAGCCTGCCTTTACCTCCCCAACTCCAGAGCCCTGTGTGTAGCCACGGATGCCGTTGCACTCCTGCACCTGAGACTGAGGTATGAGGTTGTCCTCTCCGCCCCGGCAGTCAGCTCTGTAGAGAGAGCTGCCAAGTCCAACGCCACTGCTTTCAGCCTCCGATTTAATGTCCCTTGTTAAGTTCTCTGTGCAAGCTCCCAAACCACGTGGCCTGTCCTTAACTCATGGTATGTATTTGGTAAGCTCTCTCTAACATTTCCCAGTAATTACTTCAGCAGCATCTCTCTATTTTATCCAAAATCTGGAACCTTCCCCTTGAGCCGATTCCACCCACTTGCCTTCCTCTATAGTAGACTGCCTGAGAATGCCTGTGAGCTGCATATTGAGCCCAAAGAAACCAGCTCCACCGGAGTCCTGTTGCCACAGTTGTGCCCCATGTCTGTCCCTAAAGCAGGACAGCATACAGGGGCAGTGCAAGCCTGGCTGATGAGGCCCATCCTAATAAAGGGTCCATTAATGGGCTACCCACAGCCTTAGCTTCAAAGAATGCAACAAGTTCCTTGAAGACACAGACACAAGACTCCTTGATTCCTCTGCAAATGAGCCCACCTTGACACACCTTTGTTTGGCCAATTTCCATTACCTCCTCAGCAAGGAAAATGGGTGTTTACCAGCCTTTCTTTTCCATAGACAGAGAGGTCATTGAGCAGCTCCTCCCCTTTGCAGCCAAGATTCTCTCCGGTGACTGCATCTGACTGCCTGGGCGGAGGCAGGGGCTTATCAAAGAGCTTAAAGTCCTGCCTCTCAGATACCCAGCAGTCTTCCGGTCCCACCCTGAATTTTAAAGATAAGCAAGCAGAGGCCTAGGAAAGAAACAAATTGCCTAAGGTCATACAGGGAGTCTGAAGCAGAGCTGAGACCGCTACTCCTTTCTGGCTCCTCTGTCCACTGGCTTCTTATTCTGTGCTACTCCTGCCAAAAGTTCAAAGATGACCTCTCCTCTCTCTCTCTCTCTCTCTCTCTCTCTCTCACACACACACACACACACACACACACACACACACAGGTACTACATTGGTTAGTCTTCCTTTACCAGAGCCTCCAGAAAGGGCTATTTTCAGATATCCTAAAAGGCACCTGTGGGCATGGAGACCTGGCTCTGTCTCCCAGGGGCCAATGGCCTTGAAATAAGTCACACCCCTTCTCTCAGCCTCTGAAGGAGAGAAGCTCTGCCCTGCCCAACTGGCAGGGCTGAGGGGTACACCACCTGCATTTGAGGATTGAGAACCCTCTAAGTTCTAAAAGTCCAGACTTTGTTCTAGCCAGTTCATGGTTCAAACACGGCCTACTCTTACTTCGCCACCTGGAGTCTGCCCCCTTCCCCCTCACAGCCTCCCCATCCTCCTCCACTAGCTGCACTAACATAAATATGTTCCTCATCTGCAACTTCTCCCTGGGTAGTCAACAGTTTTACAAATCCCAAGTCTATGCTCTACGAGAATGGAGGAAATGATGAAGGAAAACTTTTAGACTGACTATCATAGTTGGCAGGTTTCAAATCCTATGTGTATGATCAGGCAACTCAATTTCCTGAGCCAAATAAGATAACATACAGTCTCGAAAAAACATTTTTTTAATGTGTAAACACAAACATAGCAAGAATCTTAAATACAGCTATTAGACTCAGGGATGAAATCAGAATTAACTTTATGGGAAAGTGATCCGATTTCACAGATTAGAACTAAGATGTGTGGCTACTGCTGGGGTCTGCTCCCTCCCTTCCTAATTTGCCCACTGAGGCCATGGGTTTCTGTGCATCGGGAGGACCTGGCAAAACAACTGCCATGTAGTGGTTACAGCCAGGCTGGTAGGCCAGGGCTCTTTACTCAAGATGCCAAAGCAGTCAGCTGAAAAGCAGGAACTTCAGTCAATCAAACTGCTGTTTGTTCGACATGAGCTCACTGTGTAGAACAAACATCCTGCTTGATTGATTTTTTTTCTTAAAGTGACTGAAATTCCACCTCCTGGCAAAAACAGTCTCCATCTCTAGTGCCAGCGCTTAGGTGCTAGATCACGTCTGCCACATCCCTGCTCTGTCACTCGGGGACTCTGTGATCTTGATGAAGGTGCCTAAGCCCCCTCCCCCCAGCCTCCTGGTGATCTCCCCATGTGTGCATTAGAGAAACTCAGCTCCTTCCTTTCGGCATAGTCAGGAAGAGGAGGAGTGATGAGGAAGCAGGATCTGGCTGCAACCCCAGCACTTTCTCTGACATGCGTTCCCCACACCCTGCCATCCTTCTCCCCCTCAGACCACACTCCACCTACACACCCCACAGCCTCGGGAACATCGTGGGAAAGTTCAGTCATTTCCAAACTTGCCGTAGATCTGAGGCATCCAGCAGGGAAATGGGGAGAGGAGTCAAAACAGGGCACACGGGACTGAGGTGATGGGTCACAGGTGCTGTAACGGTGGGAGAACTGTGGGATGACACCTGAGGGAAGAAATCAAATACTGCCCCAAAATGAACAGTGATGTAAGAAAATAAATAAATAAATTTAATTGGAAGGAAGGGAGGGAGGGAGGAAAGAAGGAAGGAAGGCAGGAAGGCAGGAAGGAAGGAAGGAAGATCCAGTCATCTTTAAGCTAAATTCTGTTCTTCCTTGAAGAGGGTTCTGCCTCATTGAGAAAAGCCCATGCACGGAGTCTGAGGTTTCAGATCCCCAAATTTCTCTCTGTGAGCAGCTCACCTTGGGACTGAGCATCCAGAGGGACGGTGAAGAGAAAGAAGACAGAGCAGCAGTGCTGGGAACCCACAGTGGGCTTATTAAGTGTCCTTGTACAATGTGCTCCTCCAGACATTGCATGTCTTCTTCCTCATCCCCATTCAACAGACTGGGGGATTAGTGACAACGGGTTAGTTTGCTTAATTCAAGGACTCTCTGTTTCATGTGCTGACCCCCCACAGATGGCTCATGGCCAAGGCCTGTGTGCACAAATGAGCCCTGCGGGAGGCACACGGCAGATCTCACAGGGCCTGGCCTAGCCTTGTCTCACTGATGGAGGAATGCTGCCTTTCAGGCTTGAGAGTTCTCAGTGGAATAATCTAGTCTGAGTTTATCTGGGGGGGAAATGCATATTAGTAACGAACAAAGTCCACTCTGCAGTTTCACAAAGTCATACCTCACCTGCCATGTGCTGTCAGTTTTCTTCATAGTTAGCCACTTCTGCTTATTGCACACTAGTTATGTGTATGAGCTCTGTGCCAAGGCCACACGTTTCTCATCTAATCTCAAAACAACACTTTAAATTATATATCTTTATCCCGATAAAACAGATATGAAAATTAAGGTTTTGAGCAGTTAAGTGTCTTGTCCAAGGTCACAGACTTATTATTTGAACTCGAGGTGCCCATGGCATACACTCAGTTCATGTTTCTGTTTTTTCTCTGTGTTTCCATGAGCTAGATGTCCCCCAGAGTCTCACCTGGTTGTTTCCCACAAAGAGCCCGTGGTGTGTTGCCGGTACAACTCTGCCTTCCAGCAGGTGGTTAGCTGCTCAGAAGCATCTGTAAGTACCTCAGATCCTGCTCTATTAAACTCTCGTTAGCAGTGATATATTTCCAACTGTGGACCCAGTCTCTCTGTCCTCACCTTGCTGAAGAGAATGTTCTGGGGTCACTATATTCTTGAAATAGAGTCAAATTTCAATTCTACTCAACCAATTACCATGTGCTGTTTGGATGTCTTCTGTGAAAGCTGATGGAGAAGCCCATGGTATGTGCTATTTGGGAGGCCTGCCCTGCAACTACAGAGTGGTGTTATTTCATTTTGATTCTTTAGTATGGTGTAAGATGATTAATACAACCCTGATCCAGGTGTGAGGGGACAGAGCAGTCCACACCCGCTTCCTCTTTCCCAGGTGCTGATGAGGACTGTGCTGACCCCAACTTGGATGAGGGACAGCATCCAGGGGAGGTGACACAATAAGTGCTCATTGAGTAGGGAATGAGAGCAAAGAGACATGCACATCCCATGGGAGGGCACATGTCAAGCACATGAATGACGCTGCAATGTTCTCAAATCTAATATTAGTTTGGTCACATTCGGAATCACTGGCCTAAGCTCCAGAATTACAAGCTAGTGTCCCGGGATGGCCATGCGTTCTTCCTTCTCCCTGTCAGAGCCTGGAGCACACTGTCTTTAGGATTTATGATTGCTGGGCCATCGCAGTCCCAACATACCCTCTTGAGGTTCACACTCACTTCACCTCCCTCACTGAGGCAAGTAAGACTTGCTTGTCTTTGACTATGTTTTTGCCTCATTTGTATTTCAGAAATTAGTCATCATCATGGTTTTATCATTAAAAGAAATAGATTACCTGGTCTGTTGGTCAAAATTTTTTATCATCACTCAGTCTCAATTCATCTAAAAGGAAGTAGGTTACTGCATAGTTTGGGTTCAGACTTGTAAAGGAGCATTTATCCTACAGGTTTATCAGAACAGCCTATGACTTCAAGGAAGCCAACTGTTTCACCTTCTCAGTACCGTGCACATTCCTGCTCATGGCTGTTCAACCTTTTCCCATCTCTACCCTTGAAATTTCCTGCTTCCTCTTGTTCCTACACACACTTCAAGGTCCAACTGAAGTTCGAGTCCACCATGCAACTTGTCTTCCCCACCTTTCTCACACCACCCCTCTCTCTACCTAACCACCCGTAGTTTTTGTCTTGAGTGAAGTGTTAGATTGTGATCTCACTTGGTCTGCACTGTTTCAAGTTTATGAGCCTAAGAATTCATCAGGGCTTGAGATGGGGGTGGGGAGGGGAAATGAGAGCATCTGTGTTGCCCTCCTTCTTCCTTTATTGACCTGTAAAAATGCTTCTTGCTCACAACTCAGAGCTCAGCTTCTGAGGGATATGTTCCTAGATCCCCTCCCACGTTCAGGCAGAATGAATGGCTCTGTTAGCATGTGAGTTCCTTCTTCTGTGGTAACACAGTCCACCTCCTCCAGTATCAGTACTTTTGACCTGTACTCCTCTGTCAGTGAGTGTAAGTACATGTTAAATTGAGATATAATTTCTTTCACAACTATTACTATGTTAGGCATATGCTGGTAATAAACTCTCCATTACTTTCTGAATTAAAGTATTGATTTGGGTATTTGCTCGCCTTGCAGATCTGTTACTGTGTGTAATCTTTGTAATATCATTATGCCCACTGTCATAATCCATAGCTTTTAAACCACATTATGCTCTCTATATTTGTAGAGGAGAGGATCTGGCCCAAGGTTTTCATGAAGCCTGGGTTTATTTACACAACTATATTCATTCATTGTATTAGGAGAGTTTTAAGGACCACCAGCACTCAATGTCTCTGGAAATGCTTGAAAACTGCTCATGAAAAATTAATAAAAGTTCAAGTAAATATTCAGACCATATTCATATGAACTCCAACTTAAAACATACACAGTGACATGTGTCACTGGAAGTTTAGTCACAAAAATAATGTAATTTGTATCCATAGAGGTTAATACTACACATATTTTAAAATTAGTTTAAATTTTAATAGCGAAATTAAAGTTTGTGATACAGTTGCATTTTATTAAGTTTAACTGGATGGGAATACCAAAAGGAAGAACTTGATGCAATGAATTTCTTAAAGGACACCTGCCACGACATGAAATGTCATATATATGACTTCTACAAAATGCTAGTATACCTGGAAAGCAAAAATAACACCTTTAGACTGTATATCGAAATATAGTCTATAAATAGAACCATAGGTTATTTTAAAACATATTTTCATTGCTCATTTCAATCTTTGCATTTCTCTTACCAGCAGTAGCAGGTGGAGTTCTTGGGGGAATTTTTTAAGAACAAAGTTGTGTCTGTTTAATCCCATGATGGAAAAGCAGGTTGAGAGGGAGAATGCCTACCTTGGGTGTGGATCCTGGGTTATTTGCCCAACTCACAGCCTCCCTGCTCATTCTTCCATACCAACAGGTACTTAATTCAATTCTGGACCTTGATCTTATTACAAGTCACTGCATATTATGGAACTTTGGGATATTTGTAAATGGCAAAAACCACTAAAGTAACCCCAGTAGTGCTAAGGGTCTGTTACAGTATAAGGAAAACAGATGACTATGCCTGAGCTGCAGACACCATGAGGAACTCTCACAATGTAGGAGGAAAGAGGGAAGGAAGCAAAGTGGGTACAACTGAAAATCTGACCTCAGTGATTTGAAATCAGCAACAGAGTGAGTCTTTTGGTGTCTAGAAATCCGGAAGTGTCTCCATGTCAATGGAACAGCCTTAGAGTGACTAGAAGGAATATTTGGTAGTCTGGGGAAGAGGCTGTCCTCCTGCATTTCTCCTTCCCCATTCTCTATGCATTTTAGATGCAAGTTCCAGAAAGCCTACCCCAGTGGAATGCCTTCCTGGGGTGGCCATTCAACCTCACCCAGTCATGCAAGATGACATTCACCTGGCTCAAAGACTGCTGAAGGGATGGGGCTAAAAGAAAGTAATTCTAGGCAGGACTTAGTTGACCAAGTAAATCTTAAAGCTGAGGTTCTGGAAGATAAAACCCAAAATCAGGTCATCTTTCTCATTCAGATTTGTCCTGATATTGAATAAATTTTGCTGCTCAAAATTCAATGCACACCTATGTTCTCTGTGCCTAGATGGTCAGGAGATTTTTTTCCCCTAAGATTCCTAAATCTTTTAATCTTTTCACTCAGTGTTGTGGGTGTTCCTCCTAAATGCATATGTTGAGCCTAAACTCCAGTACCTCAGAGTATGACTTATTTATAGAAAAAACCTCTAGAGAGGTGATTAAGTTAAAATGATCCCAGAGAGAGGGCCTAATTCAATCTGAGTGGTATCTCTATAAGAAGAGGAAATGTGAACACAGCAAGTGTCACAGGATGCACGCACACACACGGAACAGAGGTCATGTGAGGACACAAGAAGAAGATACCTGCAAACCAAGGACAGAGGCTTCGGAAGGAACCAAACCCTGCCTGCTCCTTGACCTTGGACCTCCTGGCCCCAAGACCATGAGAAAATACAGTTCTGTTGCTTAATCCTCCCAGTCTGTGGTGTTTTGCTATGGTAGCCCAGGGAGACTAAAACACTCAAGTACATCAACATGTATGGAAACAGAGAATTTCAACCTAAGTTTTTATCTCTCATAGCTATGCCACTAGACTTCAAAAAGCAACCCCCTTTAGTTGGGTAACCAGTTCCCTCTAGGTCACTTTTTTCAACTTCCTGATATAGGTGGTGAAAGTATGGGATTTTGAAACAGGAAGACTGCTGTCTGAGTTCATGGGGGCCCATGGCAATGCTGGAATCACCTGTCTGACCTTCGACTCCAGTGGAAGAAGGTATGTGATCTCCATGATCTCCACCCACCAGGCGGCCAGCACACGAGCCGCCCTGACTGGAGGCTCTGTTTCCTAGGCTAGTTACTGGGGGCAGAGATGGCTGTCTGAAGATCTGGAGCTACAACAACGGGCACTGTCTCCATACCCTGAAGCATGGCAAGTCACTTCCTACTAAGGGTCCCCATAGCATAATGATGCACGAGTAGGCATTTGTAGTAAATGTAGAAGAAATTAAACGAGATAGAGTCTAGGATGCATGTAACAATCCTACCTCACTTTTCTCTGACATTTCATTTCATCAATGAATCGACACTTCTATTTAGTAGGGACAACTTTACATACATATATGTGATACTGGCTATGCTTCGTGCATTTTTTAAAACTGAAGTAACATTGGTTTATAAAATGACATAAGTTTCAGGTGTACAGCATCATAGTTTGACATCTGCATGGGCTGCATAACAATCCACCAAGTCTAGTCTCCATCCGCCTCTGTGCAATTGTCCCACTTTAGCGGATTAGGCCACCCACACGCTCCTTCATCTCTGGTGGCCACCATTTTGTTCATAATCTAAGTGTTTGTTTTGTTTTGCTTTGTTTTATTTGTTTTTGTTTCTTTTTTGGGGGTTTCAGGTGTACAGCTTCACATTTCACATCTGTATATGCTACATTATGATCACCTGCAAAAGTAGTGCCGTTCATCCCCGTGCACCTTTTGCCCACTTTGCCTACCCATCTCCTCTCCATCCTTAGTCCCATCCCCATCCCCTGGCTCAAAGGCTGCTCTGGTAACCACTATTCTGTTGTCAGAATCTAATTTTGTTTTGTTTGTTCATTGCTTTGCTTTTTTGTCTTCCATATGTGAGTGAAGTCCAAGCATGTTTGTCTTTCTCACTTAGACTTACTTCACTTCACATAATCCCCTTCAGGTCCATTCATACTGTTGCAAAATGGTAGGATCTCATATTTCTTATAGCTGTTTATTATTTCACTGTGTGAATATACCACATCTTCTTTATCCACTTATAGATGGGCACTTAGGTTGTGTCCATGTCTTGACTATTGTGAATAGTGCTGCAATGAACATAGAGGTACACATATCTTTTCAAATTAGTATTTTCATATTGTTCAGGTAAATACACAGAAGTGGAATAGAGGTGTGGGAGCATATATTTGTATGCCACATGCATCTACTCCTTCAAATATATTTGTATGCCACATGCATCTACTCCTCCAATAGCTGGTATATATGTGATTTCTTAAAAGAGTATAGCTTCTCTAAATATTTTAAACCACATAAATTAAAGTCTAGATCAATACACTAAAATGTGGTCTCTTTTGTGTGTTACTGTGATTTTTTTCCAAGACAGCTTATTCTATATGCTTATTTTCGTTATCTATTATTGGTTAAAAATTTCCAAGATTCTGGCCTGTAAAACTATGAGGAAGTTAAAAGGCAAATGTATTCAACTCCTGGACAGTATAGGTGAAGTCAAAGGAAAAAAAGACAAAAAAAAAAAAAAAACCAACCTAAAAATAATGAGTTGGTGGCTTCTAGTTCTGCCTTTGACCTTCACACATTCATTTATTCACTCACTCCCTCAGTAAGTGGCAGGCACTGTGTTGGGTCCTGTCAGAAGCTGAACAGTGGCAGTATTAGCCTATCAGGGCCATGAGGCTGGCAGAAAACCAGTACTGCCTTCAGGGCATGAAAGACACTTAACTGTGGTCTGAAAACTAGAAAGAAGTACAGAGTTTTCCCCACTCATCAGTTAGATGTGGTCAGTTAAGTCAATATGTAAGCTGATTCAATACTAATAAAGAATATTGTTTAATACAACTTGACAATATTATCTTTCTAGATGAAAAGCAAAGTGAAGTCTGTGATTGTATCTACTTGGAGGTGAACCAAAATAAGTGAGTTATATTCAGCTTGGATATAAGAGGGGCAACTTTTTCAGTACAAAACTTGTCCTGGCAAAGGATACCAAGAAAATGAAAGGAATTTTCCAGAAGAGAATGTGTCAAAGAATTCCCAAGAAGCCTGGTGGCTCCCTAATGATAATTTAAGCAACTGGGATTTTCCAGAATTTGGGAGTAATTTTCTGCACATATCTCTTCAACAAATGTTTTCTTAAGGCATAAATCACAGGCTGGGGTAATTAAATTTAGCAGTCACAAGACAAGGAATAAAAATCCAATAAATTCCCTCCTGAACTCTAAGAGGGTAAAAACAATCCTTGATCAATTTCTGTTTGTGCCCTGATCTCCATGATTCATCTGTGCTCCCAGAATCAAGCAACCTCAAGGAGATGACTGCTATAGTGTGGCATCTGCAGATCTTGGGAAATATACTGTGTCCTCCTGTGTCTGTTTTTTGTCTTTTAAGCACCAGTTTAAAAACTGACCTTAATTAATCATCACATTTTATTTTGTTCTTCATTAAAAAAAAGAGATTACTTTCTTGCTTTCTTCATTTATCACAGACATGACAAAATTAAACTACAATATTGATTCCAGGAAAAAATTAACAGATGATAATCTTAAATGTGAAAATATAATATTCTGTTATTGTTCTAGGTGCATCATAGCTGTTGGATGGGATCGAAGAATAAACGTCTATTTTGTAAGTGAAATGTACAAAATTACAGTATTTCAAAACCCTGCTTTAGATTGATATTCTTCTGTAGCACCCCCTCCCTCAACCTTTTTCCCCTTAAAAATAGGTGATTTTGGAGAAATGATGCCAGGCCAGGATCTAGCCCTCCCTCCCTCCTTTTATTTTTTCTCTCCTCCCTCCTTCCTCTGGTTCTTAAAAATCCTTTTTACCATGTTTATTTACATTTCTTTCCTATAATTTTCTTCAGTGGACAAAAGTGCTAACTAGCAAAGCTCTCAAGGCAAAAGGGCACCCCTGGAATCCACCACAGACTGTGCCTGACACACCTCCAGCTCTCCCCCAGGGTGATCTCTCCCCGCCCTCATACAAGCTCCCTAGGGGGCTTCAGCCATATCCCACAGGTTCTCATTCCTAATGGAGGGTCCCCCAGGACAACAATGGTCCAGTCCTTTTGTTTCTCCCTACTCCACCTGTCCTTATGCTCTAGTTCCTCTCTGCATGGAAAGAGGAGGTGCAATGCCATCCATAAGCATCTCTATAAGAGAAAAAAAAAATTATGGCTTAGAGCTAAGGAAGGGGATTAAAAGAGGGGAAGTTGAAATTGCTGACTAAAACTAAGTTTTATATCTGTCTGTGGCATTTTATTTCCTCGGCTTGCGGTGCTGAATGGTCATGGATTCCAAAGGTCTTTAAACATTGTAAGTTCTTCATTCCTTTGAAAGTTTGCTGTATTTCACGGCCTAAGCCTTGCATCCTAGGATGATTTGAGAGACGACTTCCTGAGACATCTTGGCACTGAATATGTCCTTTGGTATTATAGGTTCCTGGGCTGATGGCTTTTGTTTTAGTGCGTGCAACTGCTATGGATCTTATTATGAAGGCGAAGCTATGCAGACCATCTGAGGAGAGCTTGTCAGTTGACATATGATTTGCTGAAATGCAATCACCCAAACGTCAGGAGCGGATTGCTTTTTATTCCCACTGGCACTATAGGAATTTGCTTTGACATTTTGAAAATCTATATCACTGGTGGGGTGAAGGGTAGGGTTATAAACTGTGCCAGCGTCTTTTCTCTGAAGTTGTGAATGTGTTGGCAGCTCATTTTGCTGTTTGTACAATGTCTCCTCTTCGGCTTTGGATACAGGATGCACCACGTGACTTTCATCACTTCTGGAAGCCACAGCCACACTGGAAGGATGACCTGGTGAGTCTTAATCAACTGCTCTGTCTCGCAATTCAAACAAGTGAGGTTCTCCTCCACGAGGGGCTCATCCTGAGACCTGTCTCAGATGGTCACAGTATCCGCTGTGCTACGATTCGTGATTGGCGTCTAAGTGGAGCCAACACTGAACTCAGGGAATTACTTCAGCTCCAGGACAAGTGACAGGCCATGCTCAGTGCAGCCACAGAAGTAAATCCTTGTAGCGTTCCAGGACTCCAAGTGGGAGTCATACGGTGCAGGAGGAACAGCCCAGGATATGGTGGGTGTAACTTTCCTCAAAAAAGCATCTACTTCTGCTTCTGCTTAGCATGGAAACTGCATGCATCTGCTGTGCCATGCTTAGACAGTCAGGAAACCTCAGCAATGACATTCCTGCTGCCTTGTGGCTTGTTGGGAATCCAAGAACAGGGGGCTTTTTATAATTCTAATTAGTACTCAAAATGCCCCCAACTTGCTACAGCTTTCCAGTATTGAATATCTTCCCTCAAAGTTTTCTAGTCCAAAAAAACAATTCTACATTTGTTTTCTTTAAGATTTATTCTTATTTATTTATACATACAATAACTGGGGTGTAGGCCAGAGGTGCTGGGGATGAGAGGATTCACCAGAGACAGAGTGGGGAGTAGAATAGGTGGATCTACAGAAATACACTGCTGAGAGGAGCAGCGGGGAAGACAGGAGAGGTCTTCTGTGCCATGTGGGTTAGCTCCCTGGCTGGGGATCAAACTCATGCCACAGTGGCTGGCAATAGCTTGATAGTCCTGAGAATTTAACACCTGAGCCACCAAGGAGGCCCCCAATTCTCTACTTTAAAACAAAGTTTTTGTGCCTAAAGTTCTGCCACTGCTCACACCCTACTCTATGTCTCCTGTAAATATGTCCAAAAGTACAAGTCACTAGGAGACAAACTTCACTGTGGTACCTAGGGACCTAGCCCAGTGCTTGTGTATGGTGACTGTCCATGGAGTATATGTTTTCATTCAGCTGGCACTTGTCAAATGCCTATTATGGTATTAAAGATCAAGTGTGTGTTGCCCACTGAAGATGCTGTGATGAGCAAAATGATCATCACACAGCCCCTGCCTTCATGGAGCTTGCCAAAGCTGATGATGATTATGATGATTAATGTTAAGTGAAAGAACAAAATGATGCAGAAAGGTCCCAAGGAAAGCCACAGCCACCGCAATGGTAAACATCACGCAGAGTCAGGGAAGCATTAGTTATTTCAACTGTTTAATCATTCAGTTATCACTTCATTCAAAACATATTTATCAAGCACTTTCATAGAGCTGTCTTTAGTGGATAAGCATAGAAGACAGGAACATGAATAAAATGTGATTCTCTGCCCAGAATCTCACAGAACTGTCAAGGAGATAAACTAAGGAAATAATAATCATACAATGTGACAGATTATATGGTAATATATAACATGCTGGAGAAGCCCAGAGGTAGGAGCTACTAACTTTGCCCTAATATCATGTGGGACATTAAAAGATTTCTAGGATTTTTCCCAGAAGACAAGGTAAAGAAAGGCAATCTAGATGAGGGGAGAGGGAGAAAGCATGAGCAATTCTGGAAGCTGAGACGCATGGTAGCAGGACTGTGGAAAGGCTGAGGGGCTGGAGCATCAGGAACAGGAGGGAAATAAGGTTAGAAAGTCAAATTAGAGTTTGAAAGTCATGCTAAGGCATGGACACCTTGCTCTGCAAGTGGTATGAGACTATGGGGAGCTGGGGGTGGGACCAGACATGAGTGATCACAAATGGACAATGGGAAAGGGATTTGGTGGCTCAAGATAGTGGGAAGTTTGGGCCTCCCTGGTGGTGCAAGGGGTTAAGCACTGCACTCTGAAGCAATCTGCAGCCTCTGCAGCACGAGTTATATGCCCGGCCAGCCAGAGAGCAATCCACATGGCGAAGCAGACCTCTCCTGTCTCACCAGCTGCTCCCCTCAGCAGTGTATTTCAGTTAATCTGCCTGTTCTGCTCCCCACTCTGTCTCTGCTGAATCCTCTCACCCCTCCTCCCCCGGATCTCTGGCCTGTACCCCTGCTTTTGTATGCATAAATAAATAAATCTTTAAAAAAAAAAGGATTGTGGGAAGTTTATCTTTTTTCATTGCTGAGTTGTATTCCATTGTGTATATATACCACATCTTGATCTATTCAACTTATGCCATTTGCGGCCACATGGATGGAGCTAGAAGGGATTACACTAAGGGAAGTAAGTCAGAAGGAAAAAGATAAATATCAGATGGTTTCACTTACAGGAGGAATATAGAGAAACCAAACAAAGCGTCAGGAAAAAGACAAAAGTTGCCAGCCGACCTTAGATCTGAGTCATACAGCAGGCGATGGGGAGGGAGAGGGGTCAAAACATAGAGTTGCGCAAGAGACTGTGATGATGGATCATGGGCGCCATAGTGGTGAGAAAACTCTGGGGACCACACCTGAGGGGAGAAATCAAATACTGTCCAAAAATTAACAATGATGTAAGAAAATAAATTTAATTAATTTTTTAAAAAAGATGGTGGGAGGGGGCCTCCCCGGTGGCTCAGCGGTTGAGCGCTGGGTTGCGAAGCTGCCCGCAGCATCTGCAGCGCCAGTTCAATACCCAGCTGCTCCCAGGCCACGGGAGGAGGGTCCCACATGGCGCGCAGACCTCTCCTGCCGCCCGCTGCTCCCCTCAATAGTGTACTTCGGTCCTTCTGCCTGCTCTGCTCACCGCTCTGGCTCTGGTGAATTCTCTTACCCTCCCGCGCTTCTGACTGTACCCAGTGCTTGTATAAATAAATAAAATAAATAAATAAAAATAAAAATAAATCTTTGGAAAAAAAAAAGATGGTGGGAAAGAGAGGGTCTTTAACCTCTTTAGTGGTACTCTTATGCTACCTCGCAGTTGCTTCCAAGCAGAAGAGGCAACCTAGATGACCATGGAGAGGTCCTCTGGGAACACTCTGTGGGAAATATGTGAGGGCAAAGGAGAAAAACATCTTTCCAGTGCCAAGCAGAGCCAATTCTCTTCACATAGAAATTATAGAAACTGCAACCTGTGAGAAAGTTGAAAGAATAATGTCCTTTGAACTCTTCAAACTGTGCATTGCTGGTCTCTAAAGTCTATTATAGTTTCTTGTCTTTCTTCAGAGTCCATACCCAAAAATCCTTCTCTTGAAGGGAATGGACGATTTCAATTCCTAACAGCACATGTATGCCGCAGGGGGAGGTGGCTGGGAGGTCTGCAGGAACTGAATCAAGGGACACCACAATGTGGAATCTAGACCTGGGAAAACAAATCCCCATAGCCAGTGTCTGGGTTCTCTTGTCCCATTTCTATCAACATTTCAACCCTGCTGGGGTCTCCTTGCAAATGGCCTGCTCTTCAGCACTATGGGGAGGAAAGGAAGCTACTAGAGGTAGCACTTTTCTGGGGAAGTTGAGCCCTCAGAGGCAATAAACTGACCCAAAGAAATGCAACACCTCTCTGGCTACCTGCCAATAGATCCCACAAGGAGGAATGCTCCTGCTCCTCTGGGTGGGGCCATAAGTTTCCATATGAATCCTTGATGTGGGCAAACACTTATCCTCTGTCTTAGGGATCAAATGAAGGGAGGCCAGTGTGAGTGATTGGGAATTTTATCTCTCTCTCTCTCTCAGAACCATGGGCACCAGGAGGACATCCTTTGTGTGGCTCAATGTCCACCTTTTCTTCTTGCCACTTCCAGTTACGATGGGGAAATTATCATCTGGAATGTCATCTCAGGCCACATGTACTGCAAGCTGAATACCCCCAGTCCCTCTGATGGTACAGGGGAGAGAGAAGGTAGGTGAGGGGCAGGCTTTCCAGCCACTCTGCACAGTCTCCTGGCAAGTTGTCTAATGTAATCCCAGTTCAGCTGTACTGCCCTGTTGTAAAGCTTTGGTCTGGTTTTAGGTTTAACTGGTCGGAGGGAGATTCCTGAAGCCAGAGAGATTTTAAGGGTTCCATTGGCTTGGTCCACATTCGCAAGCACCAACCCGTTAAAACCCAACTCATAGGCCAGCCCATAACCTCCCAGAAGTCCTTTCCTCATCACTGCCCACCAGAAGGGTTCTCTCCCATGCTGAGCCCCTTGGGTTCAGCTTTTCCAGCTTTGCTTGTATTCCTCTGCCTTCAATATCACTCTCTATGGGCTTCCTGTTTCACCCCACTTACCAGCGGGCTGCCCTAACCCAGCTCAGACATCACCTCTTGATGAGTCGCTCATCTGTGTTACCTCAAGCTTTATGCCACCTCCACAGTCAGCCCACTCTAGTGGCCTCAGGCTGGGTCCTCCCCTTGCCCATGCTCCTGAACATCACATGGGATATTAAAAGATGACTAGGCTCTTTTGAGGAGGACAAGGTAAGGAAAGGCAATCTAGTAAGGGGAGAGAGGAAAAGTATCACCAGTTCTGGAAGATGAGAAGCATGTCGGAAGGACCAGGAAAAGGTTGAGGGGTTGGAGCTTCAGGTACAGGAGGAAAATGAGTTTGGAAAGTCAAATAAGAGTCTGTCCTGACTCCTGGATCTATCTTTACTATTTATATACTGTATTGTGAGAGTTTTTCCCCTCACTGTCCCTAATATTTTTGCTCTAGTTCCATTTCTTCTAGGTGCTCTCTGTTCACGTGATCATGGGTTCATTCATTCACTTACTAATTCAAAAACTATTGTTGAGCTCCTGTTCTATGCCAGGCCAAGTGCTAGGCCATAGGGCTGGTGACTATGTGGCTCTCCCTCCAGGTTCTGAGCCGCATGATAAATGGTTCATGGAAGATAATCAGAGGTTTCCACTTGTCTGTCTGTTTCACTGCTGGCTGTGCTAGATTGAAAAACTAACTGGAACCCAAATAGATTTCCTACCCATTGCTCCTCTCCCCACTTCAGGGTGCAGACTCATCCTGTATGCTACAGTCTACAGACACTCATCTGCCCACCGTCAAGGGACCCACTGCCTCACACCTGTCCCCACAGGACAGCCACTGGGCATTGGGCATTTTTGCATAAAATTGGCAAGTTCTTGATGAACCCCAAAAAATCCTTAGAGAACCATAAAACCCAAACAACAGTGTCCTATTTGGGGTGTTTTGTAACTTAGTAGCCAGTTTCCAAGGAACAACTCTAGTACTCATTCAATCAGAAAACATCTTAAGCCTTTCCTTGGGTGCAACCCTGTAGGAAATGCTGGTGGAACCAGGGGGCATGTGAGGCCTAGAGCTGCCCTGGGAAGACCTCTCAGGGCTGAGATTCAGAGACATGATGTGCTTGTGCCACAGGTCAATAAGGAGAGAGCAATGCAGTAGCTTCAGGGCCTGAGAAACTCTGGAGGGCAGGGGCTAGAAACTGAAACCCCGGGCACCGTCAGATTAAAAGGAAGTTCTTACCTGGAGATTTATCATCCAATTTGTTCTTCTCCTCCTTTGCTACATATAAAAAGATTATTTGAGGAAGCCCTTTCTGAGAGACCCGAGATTTAAAAACCTTTGTGGGAAAGGTGGTGGCATTTCCTTTGAAAGGTTTATTTTCATTGCTGTTCAAATGAAAATAAAGTCACTAGCCAAGAATGCAGTGTTGACCTTTCAGCCAGCATTTAAAACCTTGTTTGCAGCAGCATTTCACAGTTAAATTTATGTGGCTGCTGGTTTTGAGACACCTCTTTTCCTCCAAAAAATGCTAAGCCAGACATACCTACAAATAATTCACATTTTTCGCATTGCAAAAATTTTTTAAATGAGATGGAAAAATGTGAAAGTTCTCCACCATTCTAGGAAAGCTGCTTGGGTTCTTCTTGAAGGTCAGAACAGAACACGTTTGTCTATTTCACAGGGTTGGTTAAGAGGTGAACATCTTTGGATAAATTGGTCCAGACGCTTCTTCTGAAGTCATCCTCAGTAGAAAGGGGAGTTAAGAGAGAAAGGTAATTGTGCAAGCAAAGCCAAATAAGCTGAAAACAGATTCTTTCTGGGACAATTCAACATTTGAGCTTCATTTTTCCTTATTTTGGGATTGTTACTTCTTCCCCCACATCAGAGAGGAGGAATTAGTGAAAGTGAGAGACCAAGAGGCTCCATCCACGTCAGACTCCAGGAAATCAGTGAGTTCACTGAGAGACTAAGGATTTTTTTCCTTCTTCTTTTTTTTATTGTGGTAAAATACACATAATTTAAACTTTACTTTTTAGTTATTTTTAAGGTACAGTTTAGTGGCATGAAATATATTCACATTTCTGGGCAACCATCACCGCTGTCCATCACCATGACTCTTTTCATCTGGTAAAACAGAAACTCTATTCCCAGGAAACACTGACTTCCCACACCCCTGTCCCAGCTTAGGTGACCACCATTCTCCTTTCTGTCTTTGTGATTTTGGTCATGCAAAGTACCTCGTATAAATGGAATCATACTGCATTTATCCTTTTGTGACTGGCTTAATTAACTAGGCATAATATCCTCAAGTTTCACCCATGTCATAGCAAGTGTCAGAATTTTCTTCCTTTTTACGACAGAATAATATTCCATTGTTGTTTTTTTTTCCACTCATGAGTTGATGGACATTTGGGTTGCTTCCACATTGAAACTATTATTAATAATGCTGCCATGAAAATCAGTGTACAAATATATATTTTTGTGTCCCTGCTTTCATTTCTTTTGGCTATTTAAGTGTGATACCCATTTGCGTAGATGAGGAAACTGAGGTAGAGAATTATGCCACAACAATGATAATAACTGCCATTTGTTGAGTGTCTTTGTGCTAGGGATGTACGCTCAGTGTTTTCATTCAGCCTTCCCAGCTCAATCCACATAGTATCTCATTTTTTTTTTTTTTAAAGTTTTTTATTTATTTGTTTGTTTGTTTATACATGCACTGGGTACAGTCAGAAGCGCGGGAGGGTGAGAGAATTCACCAGAGCCAGAGCGGGGAGCAGAGCAGGCAGAAGGACCGAAGTACACTGCTGAGGGGAGCAGCGGGCGGCAGGAGAGGTCTGCGCGCCATGTGGGACCCTCCTCCGGTGGCTGGGGAGCAGCCGGGGATCGAACCGGCGCTGCAGAGGCCGCGGGCAGCTTCGCAACCCAGCGCTCAACCGCTGCGCCACCGGGGAGGCCCCACATAGTATCTCATTTAATCCACACTAAAGCTCAATGAAATGGAATGTACTATCTCTATATCACAGATAAAGAAAACAGAGGTCTAGGAAATTGAATTCTCTCCCAGAATATGCATGGATAAGTGGGGAGGCTAGCGCACACACACTCATTACTGGAACTTTGCAGACCTCCCTGGAATGAATGTGGGCAAAGTATAAGCAGTTTGCCCTTGTCTTCCCCTTTCACTTCTCCCCTACACCCATTGGCCAACTCAATATTCCCAAAAGCCCCAAAACATGAGAGTAAGGTTACACTTAGCCCCAATCATTAGCAGTGTACCCCAGGCATCAGGGAGGACTCTGAAGCCAAGGAGGAGGGCAGGAGCCACCCCAATATCTAGGTGACCCTCTATCCCACCTCTGAGAACCCTCAGCACCCCCAATAACAACCACAAAGCCCAATATCAAGTGCATAGGCTTTGGATGCAAAATCTGGATTTGAATCTCAGCCCTTCCATGTATTAGTTGTGTGGCCTGAGTAATATGTTTTTTTCTAAACTAGTTTCATTGCTTGTAAAATTGGCAGCATATTATCTACCTAAAAGTGTGGTGATAATTAATATGGTGAAGATGACAAAGAACTTAGCTAAGTGCCTGGCACATAGAAGATGCCCATTAAACATATAATCCTTGTCATGATCATCATCTACTTGAGGGCAGGACCTGAGTCTTCTATGTCCGCTGTAGTCTCCCAAGTAGTCTCCCATAGACAGGCCAAAATAAATATTGCTCATCAATTAATAACCCAAGTTGGGCCTCCCTCGTGGCACAAGGGTTAGGATGCAACCTATAAAGTAATCCACAGACACTGCAGCATGGGTTCTATCCCCAGCGGGCCAGGGAGCAACCTACATGGCACAGCGGACCTCTCCAGACTTGCCCACTGCTCCCCTCCTCAGTATACTCCGGTCAATCTGCCTGTTCTTCTCCCCACTCTGTCTCTGGTGAATCCTCTCATCCCCCACACCTCTGGCCTGTGCCCCAGTTCTTGTATGCATAAATAATCTTTAAAAAAAAAAAAACCCAAGTCATTGGTGTCCCTATAACATGGTGGTGACACATGGGAGAGTAGTCCCATTATTTATTTAGACCCTCATTTACATGAGACCACTCATTTTACCTCCAGTGTGGGTAATGTCCCCAGAGACCCTAGACTTGAAGAAGGTAAAATAAAGAGAGCTCCTAGAAACACTTCCAGTGCCCAAGTAGCAATGTTCTCTGTCTCTCTCTAAGGTTTTCATCTAGGTAGGTTTCTAGGATTTTTATTCAACAGACAATATTCAAGTTCTCTCTACTGAGCACTGAGAGGATTAGAAATAAGTGAGAAAAAAAACCCACAACAGACAGATGTTGCCCTTGTGTAGACAGTGTTCAAAGTCTACCAGGAGGAGGAGGGAAGACTAAGGTCTTGGGGGGTGGGTTTAAAGTTATTCCATTGCTCGGCTGTGTTGTGAGATTCAGAGTCTGCTGTCTACCTCTGCTCAGCACCCCTTTTATCTTTAAAATTTCTGATCAAATGCCATATCCCAAGATGTCCTCTCTGACAGTTCTCTTCTCCACACACCATAAACTCTTTCCCGCATCTGTTAATAGCATCTTGTTCATTCTTTGGGGAGAGTTCTTTTTGGTTTGATTGAGCTTTCTGCCTTCTTTTCTTTCCACAGCACTTGGCAAAATGCATAGTCCCTAGTAGAGATTTAGCAGATGTTGATAAAAAAGCAGTGAATGAAAGAATGAACATCTTTATGGCCTTGAGCATAGCTTTTAATTTCTCTAAACCTCATTTGACCCTGGGATTAATAATCCAGTACCATTTGATTTCACAGTTTTACTTCTTGATCTATGTGAAAGGTAACATAAGGTAAATTAGTACTATTTCAATCTGGGAATTCCTAGGGAGGGAAATTTTGGGGGAAGTTCCCAAAGAGTCACGGGCAAAGACCCCAAATATCCTTCTTTCTCTAAAAGTCCGGGGATCCCTGGGCAATCCTGGTGTCCCTGGATCACAGGAGGCTGCTCCCCTTTACCCCTAACTGTACCCCAGCTACCATGCTGGGCTGATTCCTAACCAGTGAGGAGCCTGTGCTCTGTGAACTGCTCCTGTTTCAAGAACAGAGGCAGGGAGTCGGGGGTGGGAGGCTGAGGAGGCAGAGGGAGCAACCTATAGGAGATGTCACGAGACAGCTGTATGCTGCTAGGGGTACACAACTGAAAAACTTTCCTTTGCTGCCAGACCCAGACCGAAGTGTTTCCTGCCTCACCTTCCTGAAGACTCGGGCAGTCAAGTTCGAAACAGCTGCTGCTTCCCTGATGGCTAATGGGGCCCAAGGTAAGAATGAAGGCCGCAGGGACTGTGCTGCTCCTTTCTAAGCCTCTGCCATCCCAGGCCTGAATTTGGCAAGGAAGGGTTCTTTAGCACTCCGTATGCCCTCTGCTTCACTCTCCCCTTGGAGTCCAGGCTGACTAACCCCAGCCTGCTTCAATCTCAACCCTGCCAGCTATGGAGGGGAATTGCTTGGGGAAGGAGGACCAGCTCTCACTTCCTCAGAATCAAGTCTCCCCAGTCAAGTGTACCCACAGGGCTAGCTGGGCCCTGGGCCTTTTGCAGGTGAGGACATCATTTATTCAGGTATAAGTAAACATCAGGCACGAGCTGCGAGGGTGACAGCCACGAACAGCCACATGCGACCTGTCAGAAGAGCTAAAGGGAGGCCAGCAAGTCCTGCAATGGGAGCAACCAGGAGCATGGCCATTATCTATGTGGCCTCATTTTAGAGGGGAGGAAAGGAAGTCAGGAGTGAGGAGACACAAAACAACCAAATACCCAGGGACTAGTACCCACAGGCCACAACCAGTACCACATATTTATTTATTTCAAAAGATGTAAAAATATGATTTTATTTACCTAAATATTTTATTTATTTGACTAACAAGACCAACAGTGTGTTTAAAATAAATGTTCATACACACACACACACACACACATACACACAGTGCCATAGCACAAACATCCATACCTTCCCACCATAACCCAAAATGGAGCCCTCTTCTGTCAGGAAGACTGCCCTGATTAGCAAAGGCAGAGGCTATTGAAGCATTTAATCCAAAACCACCAAAGGGGAGCCACCCAGAGAATCCCCTTCTCCAATACACACTGATAATTCTAACTGATTAAAATAAGCCAAGGGAATAAGACATCTTCTGCTTTTGTGAGGCTGAACTACCTCTCAGAGCCCAGAGACACCCAGGAGCTCAGCTACCCTGGGCAGAGCACAAGCACCAGGGCCAATTCTTCATCTTCACTCCTCACAGGTTCTGTCACCTTCTGGAGGCTGTTCGGCAGTGCCTGTCCCATTGCAAACTTCACTCCTGTAAGTTGGACAGATGATTGGAAATAACTTGCATGCTTCTGACACTAGCCTGACTATGTAACATAGCAACTCTGCCTGGTTCTCAGCCCTTGCCTTTATTTATTTAAATAGTACTTCTCTTGCTGGAAGATTTAACACAGGCCCAGTGTCTAGTTTCTAATATAAATGGGTACCAGCATTTCACTTACCATTGTCTGATAGGTTAACTCTGGGTGACATGAAACTTGTGTGTGTGATGTATGGGTCGATATCTGTGTCTTTGTTTGTGATGGATTTTGTGTGTGTGTGTGTGTGTGTGTGTGTGTGAGAGAGAGAGAGAGAGAGAGAGAGAGAGAGAGAGAGAGAGAGAGAGAGAGAGAGAGAGAGATGGGTTCTGTGCACATGTCTTGCAGTCCAATAACAAGGCCCGAGTCAGCAGCATGGCAGTGACAGCAGGAGACGCACTCGCTTACGTGGCTGACCAAGAAGGATTTGTGCGCGTCTATGACATCAAGGAGTATGGCCTTCAGGGACCTGAGCTGCATGCCCCCAAAAGTAGGCAATGGACACTTCATGTTAAACACTAAGATAAACACATCTTCATTTTCACTTTAATATTCTGGTTGGTAAAATTAAATTGTGCAAATAAGGATGGAATTTCTTCAAATACTTTAAGAATGGATTTAGAGAAATATAATTTCATGAAAGTGTTCAGTGTTGGCAAGAATCAGGAAAACGAACACATTACCCTCTTGGAGAGGATAAATTGGGGAACACTACCTGAAGGACAAGGTCACAATATGTATCTAAATTATGAACCAGCAATTCTATTACTCAGGATTTGACCAAAAGAAATAATAAGAAATGTGAACAAAGATTTAGTTATAAATAGATTGTGAATCAAAACATGGTTCATAAGAGAGGAAAATAGAGACAGTCTAAATGTCTACTCAAAGGGAATTAATTAAATTTATGATAGCATAAGACTTTGAAATAGCACTGTCATCAAATAACGGTGCTATACTTTTAAATGTATACATAGAAAAAATACACATTATAAAATTAAATGAAAAATGTAGATTGTAAAACAATGTCACAGTATTAGTTCATCTTTGTTAAAGAAGTATATGGTAGGTCGAAGACTAGAAAGATCTACCCCAAAGCTTTAGCATTTACCAATGCTCTCGTTGTAGATGAGATTATAGATGCATTTGATTTCCATCTTTTTGAAAATGTCTTTTATGTTTTTTTCTGAAAATATATTGCTTTGGAAATAACAAAAATAGGTTTAAAATTTTAAACCTTTTTGCAATTGTAAAATTGCAAATTTTACAAATTGTAAAATCCCTTTTATGCAATTGTAAAATTACTCATGTTTAGAAAAAAATCACTGAGAGAATAGAAAATGAGAAGCAGTAGCTGTTTCTCTGACCTCCTCTACCACCTAACCTGCCATTTCTACATCCTAGTAACACTATTAATGAATTTTAATTTCCTTCTAGAAAATGCATATAGACACAATCATGTAAAATACATATATATAGATTATATGCTCACATGTATATACATAGCCAAAGACACATACACAGAATATATTTTTGAAACTTGGATTTTTTTGTGTCTCTTAGACAACTTTCTATAGAAGCATCTTTCTATTTAGCATATTTAAATGACTGTATAATATTCTTCCAAATACATTTCTATAAAGTTAAATATTCACATACTTCCCTTTAGTCAACTTTTCCTCTTCCACCACAGGAAAAATTTAAATGCTAAAGTAGGAGAAATCTGAATTTTGAAATAAGAGTGATCTGCTTTGCATTTAGTTTTTGTTCTAGGAACTGGGACTGCAGTCTATTATATTTTACCAGGCTATTTTAAAAGTCATTTTTGATTAATTGCCAACTCCTTTGTGTTTATCAAACTAAATACTGAAGGAAATCATAACATAAGAACGTTCCATCAGTTCCATGTTTGAATTTGATAAAGGATCTTACACATAGTAGGTGCTCAAGGAACTCTTATCAAATTGATGCAGCAAAACCAGTGATTTGCACACTGGTACCTCATAGGTACTGACCTGGCCCCATAGGAACTACTCTACAGCACCAGGGGCAAGGTGGAGGCCAACTCTCCCACCAACTCAGGTGTATTCTTTCCTTTCATTTAGATGTGATGTTCTGGCGGGCTCATGTCAACATGGTGACATCGTGAGTACCATCCATTTTAGAGCACAAGAAATTTGTAAAAGAGTCAGAATAATTTCCGCAACTTTGATCAAATCAATCCTCTCAGAAGCCCTCTATATCAGTCTAGAAGAAGGCAGAATCATGGTTCTGTTATTGATGAAAACAGAATGTATAATGCCTACACGGATAGAAGAAGATATTAGAGTCTTCATTTTTCTTGTAAATGAATGATGTTTGCCTTGAATGGCTTTTTGTGTATGCTTAGAATCTTAGTAAGTTTAAAACTGTTTTCACTAGAGTTGAAGGGAGGCATGTTGGGGGCCCGGGGGGAGAGCAGAGACCTGAACTTGAACTACATGGTTGGTTTCAATCTTTTCATCTCCCACTTTTAGGTAGTTTCCAATATGTCTTGCTTGATATATTGGGACTGGAATTGGGGGACTTGGAAGAGGTGTACTGTGATAGGAGGCAGGGAGATAATGGTACCAGAGTAATTCATGTGATTCATTTGGTTTCTATAATCCAACTTTAATTAATGGAATATTGACATATTGATTCAATGTCCCTTGCAACAAGCCTGGAAACATGTCTCCAAACTTTTTATCTCATTAGCTTGGAGCTGATAGAAGAAAGGGTTCTGTTGTCAGCTTCCCTCGACCACACCGTGCGCCTGTGGAGCCGGGACGGGGAGTATATAGGTATGGAATGTGCACTGGCCACCACCTTGTCCCCATTCAGGGCTCCACTGAGTCATGAATTCTCTGAGATACAGTGTCTTAGTCAGCTCATGCTTGACCACCCAAACGACAGAGCTTTATTCCTAACATGGAGCAGTTATGGAGATGAGGGTGCAATGTGGTCAGGCTCCAGTGAGGACACTTTCTGCCTTGCAGATGGGCGCCTTCTTGTTATTGTTATAAATCATGTAACAGAGAATGTTCTGGTATCTCTTCTTATAAGAATATTGATACTGTTGAATCACATCTTACCCTTATGAACTCATAATATATTTAATCACATCTGTAAAGTATATTATTTCCAAATATAATCACACTGGAGGTTAGGGCTTCAACACAGGAGTTTGAACCTTAGAGTCAGCTTACTTTCACAAAATTGGGGGCATTCAAACTCAGAGGACTTAACTGCTCTGAAAGCAGTGAGTTTGCTAATGAAATGTGTTATTGTAGCATCCTGTCTTGTTAGGAATAATTCAAGTCTGGGGATGCTGAATAGTAGGGAAATGCCTAGCCCGAGTGGGTTATACTAATGAGATTAGCCCAACTTACTGTTCAGGGAGACTCTACCTGTTTCAGCAGGTTACCTTGTCTCTCTAACTGATGCTTCTTATATGCTTCTTAAGACTAGTTTGAATTTAACCTGTAAGTTCCTAACATATTATTGAGTAGCTTACATACCCATCTATTTTGTAGAACCATGTGGTTCAAGTTCAGTTCTCTGACATATTTTGTAGAAGGCATTCTAGGCTTGATTGTCCATGACATGTTACCTTGGAATTGTTTCTTCTGAAACTACAGAAGCAGAACTGAATTTGATTTCACATTGACCTAAGGAAGATTAAGGACGCCTAGTATTCTTAGCAATATGCTTTGCTTTCATTAGATGACATTCTATGCTTTTAATTGTTAATTTATCTCTTTTTTTTTTTTCAGGGACCTTTGGGCAGAGTAGCCCCTGGGACATTTTCACTCCTGACTCCTGGAGTCACCCTAGAGTGCCATGTGAAATTCTGACAGATCCCCAGAGCATGCCTGCTCACCCAGTGCTCGCAGGAGGTGTTCCGGCCAAGCACACAAGAAAGGAGGAGGGAGATGACATGACGGAAGAAAAGGCCAGTGCTAAGGTTGGTCCTGGCAGGTCCATTTCACCTGTGCTGACTTTGTAGTTTCCAGGCAGATCAGCAAGGAATACAAAATCACAGCCTAGAGAGTTGAGGCCTGGCATAGAGAACTAAGTAAATGAGGAATAAAAATATGTCCCAGCACTATGCTTCTGCAGAGGCCAGGGGGGCTTCTCAGTCCCTTTGTGGGGTGTTGGAGTTCATCTCCCAGTGTCACTTGACCTTGTCCTTCTTTTGACCAACAAAAAGGCTTCTGTCCATGACCTTGAGACATAAGGATACTCAGCACCATATTTGACCCAGCTGTCACATCTGAAAGAGAATGACACTGAAAATTCAACCCACATCACACACTTACCATTGGGAAATTTAAAGGCTGAACTTCCTTTCAAGGACTGAAAAGAAGACATGATTGGTTAGTGCCCAAGTCTTGGGAAGTCAAAGTCAGAGCAAGAGATTTGGAGAGGGCCCTGATAGATGCAGCTTTGATTTAGAACTCAGTAAAATATATGGATTTCCAAGAAATGCTTGCCCTTTAATAAATTGAAAAGAAAGAAGGTCATTTCATGAGCTATTGCTCACTGGTTATGTTACAACTTGAAGCAGAATACCTGCTCTGCCAGCAAAATAATGTGTCTTAGCTTTTTCCTTGGCAGCCTCCTAGAATGCTGATCACACATACAACCTCATCACTGACTTCTGTGCAAAGCCCCAAACATGTTCAAGATAGGCAACAAAGGAAGCAAGCAAGCATAGATCAAGAAAACCTTCTGTCTTGTCAGAGTTCCCTCACTTTCCACAAGGTTATGAAGAGGTGCCCGTAGCTCTCAGGAGACTCAGAATGTAGCTACACAGCGAGATTGCCTATTTAGAAACACAGTAATTTCAGTGTGCATTTGATAGAGAGAAAATAAATGAGTTCATTAATTTTGATAAGCCCAGAATTTGGAAAACAAAAGCATGGGGGGGGGGGGTGCGCGGTGGGAAGGGAGAAAGAAAAGGAGCAAATGGGAGGAAGTGCTGAGTGCACAAAAGCCTGGCTGCCTTATGCTACACCAGACAGAGAAATCTGACTGCAAGCTCAACCGTTGGGAGGAGGGAGCTAAGGGAGGGTGATATGGGAAGAGGAGAGAAGAGAGGGGAAAGGGGAGGGGGAGAAGGAGAAGGAGAGACCTGAGGAGAAGGGGAGAGTGAGGAAGAATAGGGGCAGACCTGGGATTTAACAAAATCAAAATATAAAACTTTTATGAGGTTTGCTGTCCCAGGGTGAAAGAGAGTGAAGCAATAGACTCATGAGTGACCTTGATCTTTTGTAAGGAAACTATTTATTAGGAGTTTCTGTGTTTATTTTTCTGTCCAATTTGATTATCTGTTCCCCAGAAACAATCTGTAAATTCTTACCAAGAAATTTACAAAGAAAGAAAAGGAAAGCACCCGAGCCTTTACATGGCATAGTTATAGGCCCGCCAATGAGAATCCAAACTGTGAAATCACAGAATGAAGTGTTTGCAGCACTGTTCTGAGCTAGGAGTCCCTGGCTCGTCCTCTCAAGCTTACCATTAGTTAGTTGTGTGACCTCCAGTAATCACTGCCAATGATCTACAAAATGAGGGATGGGTATAGCTGATCATTAAGTGTTGTTCCAACCCTAAACATGTTATATTTTCTCTGAATGTCTGTTTTGCGACATTGAATGTGTGGGTTGGATTCTGGATGTCGGTAGTGATGCCTCCAGGATGCCAGCATATCAGAGCTAACCACAACTAAAATAAATTGACTGGATGCAGAAAATCATTCACCTGGAAAGTACCACATGAGTTTGGTAATTTGAACCTCAAGCTCAGGGGAGATGCTCTTGATAGCAAATGGATCCAGACAGCCTGGATCTTGTTCTAACATAGCAAGTGCATATAACTGACAAGTTACCCTTGTTCCCTGTCGCCAGGTCCTGGGATCTTCTTCCCATAACTTCTCCTTTTTCTTCCAGCCTGAAACGACCTTTAACTCCCCAGGAGACTCCACCCTTGAAGTTGAAGTGAAAGCAGACATGCATCAACGGTATGCACTTTGCGGGGGCAGATCAGCCTAAAACAAACACTGAAGGTGAATCAAGGATCCTTCTGGAATGAGGCAGCCTTTCCTTGCTGAGGCTTTTCAGGTCACCCTATCATCTGCAGAAGTCACTTGCCTAAGTCCCTCCTGCCTGCAGGTGTAATCAGCTTACAACTCAAATCTCACCAGCCTTACGTCCTGCCTGCAGGACTCAGGACACTACCGAGGCTGTCTGGTGACCACATGTGGTCAAGGGTCACCCTCTGAGGTTCCTCAGAAATGTTGCTGGGGCTGACACTTTGGCCACAGATCCACTTGAGACAGGCTACCTGCTATTTCTGTGCAGCCACTCTGACCTCCTGAGAGTATAAGATGGGGAAACAGGCCCTTGGGTTTCCAATGCTGGGAATACCTAAGGTACCACAAAAGCCATGTGGCCCCCAATTCCCTGCACTAGGTTCTATAGAGAAGTAAGACAAATTAATGAATACCCCCCTCCATTCTGTGAGGAAGTTTGCTCCCCAGGCCCAACACCAGCCTTCCTGGGTCCCAATCATCAGGAGGCCTAAGAAACAACCCCATCTGAGTCACCTGCCACTCTTCTCATTGTGGAATTTATATCTAGACTACGGGGGCAACCCAAGTGATACACCATCTCCCCTCATCCTTCCCAGTTAGTTTTTGGTACAGCAACTCTCTTATCACTAAGCACCCAGGCCCCTTCTCATACTTCTGTCCCACTATCTTAGCTCTAGATTCTGTCTTCGTGGCCACCTCTGGCACAGACAGTTGCTGGGAGCCCTCAGCTTCCATCCACACTCCAGGCAGTGCAAAGAAACAGGAGACTAGGGATCCAGGGCCAAGGGGCATGCATCTTTCAGACAGATAAGCCCCTTTACAACTTTCCCAAGAGGCTCTGCACACTTCTCACATCTAATTGGGGTTGACAGCATCAGAGTCTTCACCGTTATCTTAGCAGCTACAGCAACCAAAACTAACTGCAAGGGAAGCTGTGAGCTCTGTAACTAAACAGGAAGGTGAGATAGACAACCAGCATCCTGTCCCCATAGGTCAAATAATAAAATGCTTCAGATACTGTCAAAACTAGAGGGCATTATAAGCAGAAACACCAGCCATCACAGTATCACTCCATGAAAGGGCTGAGAGCCATGAATCCAAAGTTGTTTTTTTTTTTTTTAAGATTTATTTATTTATACATACAAGAACCGGGGTACAGGCCAGAGGCGTGGGGGCAGGGTGAGAGGATTCACCAGAGACAGAGTGAGGAGCAGAACGGGCGAATCGACCAAAATACGCTGCTGAGGGTAGCAGTGGGAGAGACAGGAGAGGTCTGCTGTTCCATGTAGGTCAGCTCCCTGGCGGGTGGCCGGCCAGGAATCAAACTCATGCAGTACTGCAGTGGCTGTGGACAGCCTCATAGTGCTAAGGCTTAACACTTTGCACCATCAGGGAGGCCCTTGAATCCGAAGTTTGATTGAGGAAAGTAGTTGGCTTGTTAGAAAATGACAGTCATTGGGTCAACAGGCTATCTCTGAAAACAGGGTGGCCTGGGGTGAATCATTTAAACTTTTCATTTGCACAGCTGGAGGTCCCCCAGAGGACCCAGATTCTAATGAGATAGTAACAGTGACTGGACAGGGAGGGGGGTCCTCTGTCACAGACACCTGGGGGTTGACACCATCAGCATCTTCACCGTTGTCTTAGCAGCCACAGCATAGGAGGCACATTCTCTAAAGGCTTCATAGGGCCTGCTGTGGTTTAGTTGCCTCCTCCTCACAGCATTAGCCTGCTCAGGCTGTGGTAACAAAATATTAGAGTCTGGGGGCTTAAGCAACCGACATCTTTTTCTCACAGTTCTGGAGGGTGGGAGTCCAAAATCAAGATGGGATCTTCAATTCCTTATTCAGTTCCAGCTCGTGTAGTCAATTCAGTTCCAGGTGAGGGCCTTCGAACTGATTCATACACAGCTGTTTTCTCACTGTGTCCTCACGCAGCGCAGAGAGAGCAATCTCTCTCTTCCTCTTCTCATAAAACCACTAACCCTATCCAAAAGGCCCCAGACTTGTGAGCTCATCAACCCTAATAACCCCGCAAAGGCTCCATCTACAAATACCATCATGCGGGTGGGTAGAGCGCCCACATGTGAATTTGTGAGGGGACACAGTTCAGCTCATGGCACTGAACCTGCTGTGAGGTGTGAGGAGATAAAAGGCTTCTGAATGACAGAAAGCAACTGCTCACACGTCTCAGGAGGGGTCACAGTAAGATGCTTGCTCGCTGGCTCTGGTCCAGTCCCAGGGCAGGCAGTGTCGGAAGCTGGCTCTGAACTCAGAGCTGGTTTTGATTCTCTGTGACTCTTTTTTTTTTTTTTTTTTTTTTAAGATTTATTTATTTATACAAGCACTGGGTACAGTCAGAAGCGCAGGAGGGTGAGAGAATTCACCAGAGCCAGAGAGGGTTGCAGAACAGACTAGACTGACGAAATACACTGCTGAGGAGAGCAGCAGGCGCTGCAGAAGAGGACTGCACGCCCTGTGGGACCCTCGCCGGGGTGGCCGGAGATCGAACTGGTGCTGCAGAGGCTGCGGGCAACTTCGCAGCTTTGCAGTTCAGCGCTAAACCACCACCGGGGAGGTGTGATTCTCTGTGACTCTTTGTTGAATGACTAAATGAGTGACACATGTGAGCAGTGAAAGAAAGAGGATGGAGGGCAAATGCTTAGAGGGTCCCGAATAAGAGGCTAAACCACAGGAACCCTCGCATCCAACAAATTTTAAAATATGTATTTTTTAAGTCAAGGAATCATTAAAAATGATACATATATTCTATAAATGTCTTATTTTGATTTGCAACAGTAAAATGTATTTTTACTCCTTAATCTTTCCATACCAAGTCAAGACTTTTCCTCAAGAGACAGGAAAAGCCTGCCATAAATGCATTCTCTGTGAATTTTAGTTTCCACTTTCTTTAAAAACAAGAACATAAAGGTATCTACAAAGCACAGGCTTTAATAGCTACTTCACTTAAAATCAGTATCAGCCTTCACCTAGTCTTTTCAAAGTATTCATCTTAGTTTTCACAAGGTTTTTCACACTGATTCAATCATTTTTCATTTTGTTTAAGTAAATTTATAATCACAATAAAATGTACAACTGACACAAATGTGCTTGGGAACAAACATAATTCTAACCAACCCCTTTACTCATGGCAGCAGAAGCGCCACTTAGCAGATGCTAATGTTGACAGGCCTGTGGGCACTGGCTGGTGTTGACGGTCAGTCCATCAGTTCAGTTAAGAGAGCGTCTACCAGTGTGGTCCTTTGACCAACAAGGATTCCTCAGAAATCAAACTGATGCTTTCCCTGGACAGCTTGGCTCTAGGACAGAGGACAAGGAGAGGACATGAGAAAAGGAGGCAGGCAATGACCCTGTTGTTGGTCACTCATGTTAATTTTGCAGAATATCTCACCTACTTTATTTCAGTGAAGCCCTACTGACACTTTATTCAAGGTCAAGAAATGTTGAGGATCGGGCCTCCTTGGTGGCACAAGGGGTTAAGACGCAACCTATGAAGCTATCGGCAGCCACTGCAGCTCAAGTTCAATCCCTGGCCAGGGAGCTACCCACATGGTGCAGCAGACCTCTCCTGTCTTGCGCACTGCTCCCTTCAGCAGTGTATTTCAGTCAGTCTGCCTGTTCTGTTCCCTGCTCTGTCTCTGGTGAATCTTCCTACCCCCCACACCTCTGGCCTGTACCCCGGTTCTTGTACGCTAAAATAAATAAATCTTAAAAAAAAATGTTGAGGCTCTTCCAACTGGGGCTAGCTCTGACATTTAGGTAGGGAAATAATAATTTACTTTATTTAGTCCTTACCGCCTTCCTGGAGATGTACTATTTGTTATCTCCACTTACAGATGAGGAAACCAAAACCAATGTTAGGGAGGACAAGTGATTTGCACAGTCAAACCACTGGTCAGTGGGAAGGCAAAGTCTTGGTCCCACTGCTCTGTCGGCTACTCCGAGGGGAAAAACTCCTGCCTTGGAGAAGGGCATTTGTATGTGCACAGAAAGAAAGAGCAGAGCTTTAACATACTCCAAACATTCCTTAGGCATTATTGGCAACATGTAGAGGATTGCAGAATCAAGCATCCTCCCGAAGTGCAGGCCCAATGGTAAATTTTATGTTATGTGATTCTTACCACAATTAAAAAGTAAAAAGAGAGAGGGGAGGGTGTGGAGACGGAGGAAGAGAATGAGACAAGACCGCTAGGCAAGAGAAAAAGAGGACATCTGTGGGTACTTGGGTGTGGCAGCAGAGTTAGCAAGAGAAATGAACTATGAAGAGAAGGAATTTGAAGGATGAGTAGATGAAATGAACAGAAGAGAGAAAGAGTTGGTGATAGACAATCAAATAGAAGGGCTGGGTGAATAGAGACAGACACACAGACTCACAGACAGACGATAGATAGACATATAGAAAAACAGATGCTTTTGCTAAGGGAGAACATGCTCCACTTGGAGGCTTACATTTAAAAGGTGGCAGCAGGGAGCCAGGAGGTCCCTGGGAATCTGCACACTAATTTGGTTCTTTTCCGCCAGGCTGCTATTGGAGCAGAACAAGCCTTCACAGAGAACACCAGAGCCAGGGTGGCCCAGCATTTACCAGACCCTCCGCTGCCACGAGGTCGCCTGCGTGTCTGCCCTTGGAGAGAAGCCGGATTTGTCTACTATTGGCTCAGATTTGTTTAATTTAAATTTTCTTACACAGGAAAAAGAAGGAAGTGAAACTCCCCAGAGGGAGAACTGATCATATAGCAGTTCTCTTGTTTGATTTCTAGAGAGACCAGGCTGCTATTTTCTCTTCTTGGCAAATTCTTCTTCCCCAGTTAATCAAGAGGTCTGACAGAGATTAAGCTTTGCCCATCAGGGGCAAAGCAGAACAAAGCAGGGAATGATTTCAGCTCCGTGGGCTACTTCCAAAGCAATTAGAGCTGGGATTTAAGCAAACAAATCGGAT